TCCCAGCGGCGTAGCTAGGTGCGAAAGGGTCCCAGTGCAAGATTGATTTCCGGGCCCTTCGATGTAATAGGAGAATTCCCTAAAGTTTTCCGAAAATTCATCGTAAGAATTGCTTCTGCTTTTTACTCTTAAATGCCTAGGTTAGTAAATACTAATGATATAGCTGTTCTAAACTAATCAAGAAAATTGGTGGCACGTAAAATTAAACATTTGCAATGGTATTAGGTTAGGTTTCTGTGATTACGTTGCTTTATAACACTTATATTTAAGAAACCATAAGCACTGAGTATGCAGTTGCTATGTTTAGTAAACCTAAATATATTTTTTCACGATATTATAATGTCTCTATAAGTACTCAGTCGGTCACTTTTAAATTTAAAGAGGATAGGCTTTGTCGACGAATGTTTCATACAGTAGGAATTCTTGCTATGTATTATAAGGATTCACTGTAATAACAATATGGGCTGTGGTGAACACATACTAAGTGATTGGTGGCTAGCTGAGAGATTCCTTACGCTGGTAAAGAAACCTGTTTGTATCCGTATAATATTCGTTAGACCCTACAGGTTGTAGATAAGTGTGTGCGGCTCTGCAATGTGGCTCCCGCGGGTCCCCCAGCGGACATGAATTCCCGGATTTTCGAATTCCAAAATAGAATGAGAACAAATAGAATTATTATTGTTATTATTATTAAAATGTGGACCAAAGCTTGACTATTAAGATCTATTTTGTGCCATCAAGCATGTTTGTATAAGAGCTGGTTAGAGTTATGCATGAAACTAGTGAATAATTATTTCCTTTCACTACCCGATTCAAATTAGTAACTCCTCGTTCTTATCACGTGAAAGTTTAGTTAAACTTTATTCAACCAGCGAACCGTTAAGCTTTATTGAATCAATATATGACACACATTTCCATCATCAATACCGGTTATCAAAGTAAGTTAATGTCAAATTATATTAATGTGGGAAATTACATTCTTGCGTGGATTTGAGGAAGGGTGAGTTTTTCGGATACTGTTGATTAAAATGTTAATACCAAGCACAAGCACATACATGTAGGCCTATTTGATATTCCCGACCAAAGAGGTTTGAAGTGGTTGGCCTAACAGCATCTGATTTAACTAGACGAAATAACAGTTCACTTACTTAAACAGCAGCCCGGACATAGTAAAATAATGAGTGTATTCAGACTTTTTACTAATAATTTGTAAAGAAGTAGCAAGCATAAAGATACAGATGATAGATGTAGGCCTAACATTTTGATATGTTGAAAAGGCTGTACAAGGAAAACAGTGATATAATAAATCAACAGAGAGTGAAAATGACTTTTCAAGTTTATAATTTCAAAAGAATGGTGCAAAAATATCACAGATATTTTAAATAAAAACAATTACGTACAATTATTCATTTTATGAATCTTTCAATTAAAATAAGTTCTGTATATATATTCCTGCTTACCATGAGCATGCGCAGACTATCATGGTATATATTTCTATAGTTCTTGTTAATAATAATTTTACATCTATATAGAGCATAATGCCAAAGATCCAGTCACCTGACATGCACAAGCTTCTAATTCCACTCACGACATGGTCGTTACAATGGTAACAACAATTATCTCACAAAGATAACATTAAACGTATCATAAAAAAATTCATTTAATCTCAGATTATTTTTTCTTAAAATACTTATGTACATTTTGTGCAAAAAATATTTAGAAGTTGCTATGAAAATAGTTAACATTATCAAAATGTATTTTATTCAGAATGTGAGTTTATATCTACTCAGTACCAAACTTTGAGAGGTTATATTTTGTTAGGGTTTATATTCTGATAGATATTCACAATTTAATATTAAACAATAAATCTTGTGTCGTCTTGTAGACACCGATGCCTTACAAATATCTACTTATCTAAACTAGACTTAATTAAATTACTGATAATACCTTCCTTTGGTGGTTGTCGTTGAAGACACTACATTATACCAGAAAATATAAACATTAATATCTTGAATAAAAAGAATAATGCAAACTATTACGTAAATAAAATACATTAGACAGCCTAAAAGTTCAACGAACTTGTATTTTAACATCCATTAGTTATTCAATATTTTCTTTTCCTCTTTAAAAAATCTGTAATTAATCCTCAGGAAAGACAGCAATTACTTATAACTAAGTTACCGAACGCATATTAGATACACATGACACACCCTCAAATATTTACAAAATTAAATCATAAAACAGATAATACAAAATAACAAATATTGTAACAGTATCTATATATTTTGAAGGAATTTTTTAGTCGATATTCTCTCATTGTTTTGAAGAGAACTATCTTTAAAATTAGCTATATAACAAATATATAATAATAAATAATAATAATATGAATAAACACAAATTTAATTAATATAAATGTGGTGAAGATGTTTTGTTTATTTGAGTTTATATCTATATATTTTTATTTTTCTTACTTTCCTGCGTGGACTGTGAACCAGTCGATGTCCTGGAATTATTTATTGCCATTCTTTTGTACATTTTATTGATTGATATATGAATAAAGAATGATACACCACCGACTACAAAACAAATTAATTAGCTTATCGTATGGAGACACTGCTCCATACGGAAGTCTCATGATATAAAAGTTTGCTCATCATCTAGAAGAGGTACTAAGATGAAATGGTCCAGCATTCCACACACACTCTATTTCCTGCAAAACAAACGATAAATCATATCATCAAACTAGTATAAATCACAATTAATATGATGAATTTAATTGTTTTGATGTTTTATCAACACAGAACTTCTAGTAGAAAGGTTTAAACAATTTCTTTAATTCAAGCCTGTCGTAAGAAGTTAATGTTAATAAATAATAATAATGAATTAATAGACAACTTATTCTAAATATATCGTATTTAGTTAATACATAACGGCAGGTTAAAAAAATATAATGTAATTAATTTGTCTAATTTGCAAAGCAATACAAGGCAGAAATTTATTTTCCTTTTGACTGCACCCCTGATGACCTAATCTTGCTAAACTCTTTTAATAGCTCACTTCCGACTACATCATAACTGCAATTAGTCACACCACAGTGTCATTCTCTCTCTCTAGCAAATCCATTAAGTTGGGTTGTTACTCCGACTTTTGCGCTTATTGGCGATTAGGTATTGTAAATATAATAAATAGGATAACAACATCTACTGTAATTCTCAGAGTAACAACCAACCTTTTTAGCAAAGCGTTAATATACTATTATATGTTCTAAAGTGTAAGCTGGTATTGAGCACTTTATCCTAATACTGAAGTAAGATGTAGTAGTATTAGCAGTCATGTAGCCGTCATACGGGCGTATACTTGCCATACTTGACCATGTGTTTCTCAGCGCCAAAAGCCAAGCCCACATTTTGACTTGATATACAATTCACTTAAATTTGACTAGCAGAAGTACCGTGGTACCGATGATGTTCGTGTTTAAATATTCTAATCCAACAACTGATTGTTCACCATTGTACTCACAAAACCGTAATATGTCATTTATAAACATTACCTGACTTTCCATAATCAAAAATGTGTTCGTATTATTAAGTGCGAAATACATAAAAATGAAAACTTACATTTCTTTAACTCGATTTACAACAATGCACATAATCATACTCATCAACAATAATACCAATAACGCAGGCGTAATAGCAACAACCGCTACAAGATTCTGTGAAAAACATTCTGCAAAGAAGAAGGTAACATCATTATTATAGTAACACATTAAAAAAAAAAACAAACAAACAAACACACTATGTCGGCGAATCCAAAACCCACACAGTTTCGACAAAGTTTGAGTTTGTATTTAGTACGGCTGGATCAAATCTGTCCTAGTGTCTATATGGAAAATACTACAAGACAGTGTATGGCAAAGGATGACTAGATCTCGGTTGAGATACAATATAAGCAAAAGCTTAACATAACAACCTGAATTATTTAGTATATTATACACATTTATTACATTTATACAAACATGTATTTACAACGCTCTAAAAACGACATTAATTTATAAATTTACAAATTAGTAGTGTATGTGCAATTAGTGTTTGTGATCAATTAAGAATGTTAAAATGGAATAGTAAACGAACTTACTGTCCGGCAGTGTTGGAAGCATTGGTGGTGGTGGTGGTGGAGTCCTCCATGCCCATCCATTCCCAGGTACTCGTCCGAATCCCGGGCCACCCTGTCCTTGTCCTGGTAGGCCGACACCTGGCACAATAGGCACACCAACTCCTGGATTACCCATACCCGTACCAGGGATAACCATACCAGGGATACCCATACCAGGGATACCCATACCAGGGATGCCCATACCAGGCACACCCATACCAGGTATACCCATACCAGGCACACCCATACCAGGCATACCCATACCAGGCATACCCATACCAGGGACACCCATACCTGGAATACCCATACCTGGCACACCCATACCTGGCATACCCATACCAGGACTACCAGGTACTGGGCGACCGTCATTATTTCCCTTTCCTTGGTCAGGCACACCAGCTGATTGTCCAGGGTACAGGTTCAAATCCGGACCAGGGTTTGGATTAGGGTTTGGATTTGGTCCTGGTCTTGGATTAAGATTGGGGTTAGGATTAGATCCTGGTCTTGGGTTTGTTTTGGAGTTAGGATTAGGTCCTGGCCTTGGGTTTGGATTTGGGTTAGGATTAGGTCCTGGTCTTGGGTTTGGGTTCGGGTTAGGATTCGGCCCTGGTCTTGGATTCGGGTTTGGGTTAGGAATCTGCTGTCCTTGCCTAGCCCTAGGATTTGGGATACCACCGACGATCCCAGTGCATGGATTGCTTGTATCTGGCTGTTGAGGACATGCGTATTCGACAACACTGCCTAAAATAAGAAAATAAGTATTGTTCAGTTTTATAAATAATTTTACATGTTTCAACATCATATGCCAATGACTTATTGTTGTGATGTGACAGATTAGTCCAGTATTTCAAAGATACGATGATTTAGTCCTTCAAAAAAAAATCAGAAAATTCAATAAAACGTATCTACATGATTGCAGGCCACTTGATTAAGGATAAAATTACTTGACACAATAAGCCAAGAACGATTTAAAATGTCAATACGATTTTTTTTAATGGTTGGTGTCCTCGTATTATTATTGAAGAGCAAGTAGGCAATCAAATTGTTTACTAATTGACTATTCGATACTCTGAATATTGCTAAAGTGGTTCTCCAATACTTTATAACCAAACCTTCACAAAAACACTATTATGTTAATATATTTAAATATTATTTTTCCAAATAATAATCCGTTAAATATTTTCACAAACATTTTTTCAAGTCGTCCTGTAAATACGCTCTTGTGTTTTTGCTAGTATACATTTTAGCACACAATCCATTTTGGTCAATCATATGACACTTAATAATGTGGATGTTGTAAGAGCTTTAATATCAAGAAATACCGTAACTCACCTGTTGTAGGATCATTACGAGTACAGATTAACGTCTTCAGATTGTAAGCTGTTGGGAACCCATATGATGTCCAAGGTCCTATACCGTATGTGATCGCAGTGAATGAATTCCCCGGTGCTGGGTTCATGAGTGTGTGTATGCCTTGCATCAAGGCCATCGACCGACTTCCTCCGTAACTGACGATCTTTCCCGAAGCAGGCACGTATTGTGTACCCGTCATAGACGGAATAGAGTTGACGTTGATCATGCTAAGAATTCCTGGTGATGAAATCATCAGATTGACAAAAGGATGAAAATAATCTCCGCCAGAGATGTTGAAGGTACCAAATGTTACTCTATCTTTAATATACTGTTCTACTGGCGGAACTATTGTCATGAATGGATCACCTATCTCGTCACTGTCTCTGCCCTTTGCGAACTGTAATGCCATAATAGGTTGGTTGGAGCTGATGGTGGTAATAGTATCACCAGGTACGTTAAACTCTTGAAACTCGCCTTGGTTCTGTAAATAAATCGACGCACCTGATATCTGAACACTAGTCCTTGCACGTGCTGCAACCACACGGAATATATACCCGGCTGTTCGATTCAAAAACGGCATTAGTGTAAACATACTTCCCCATGTTGGGACAGGTGGAACCATTTCAACCAAGTGATCACACCTTGGTAATCTACCAGGTACCAATGTGCACGTGTTACCGCTGACGACAGCTACGGAAGCGGTTGCCTGTATTCTGGTTCCCGTCATATCCATATGACTTTGAAACTGAACGGATTTCAGACGATTAAGGGTAAATGTGTAAATGTCTCCGGGAGCATACGACATACCATGGTAGGTAACTGGTGCCTGGAATGTTATCTTTATCCGTGTGTTATCCTGAGTTGAGGTTATCATTACCTCAGAGAATTCTTCGGGAAGTGGATCGTATGATGCAACAAAGTATTCCTTACCTAATGCATCTACGGGAATTGCTAAAAAGGCTTCCGTGGATTTGGCGATATCGTTTAGAACTGCCACGGACACATCTTTTGTTGATGAAACCCATACCGTGCCGTTTTGGACATCACAGCCATGAGCTGCCGCTTGCGTCGGTAGCAACATGCGCACTTGCCCGAGTCCGTTTAACATCTGCGTCCTCCGGAATCCAAGACCCGGAATACTGATGTCTATCTTGTTAGAACCCAGCTCATGGCCGGTTATCATCATAATTATGTTGTCTGGTTGCCGGACATTACTCGGAATACCGAAGATAAATTGGCGCCCTCTGGTGTCTGGTGTCTTTGCCCCATAACCTGACAAAGTAAAAGTTGTAATACCAACAAATGACGTCATAATATCATGGCGTGTCAGAGGAAGTTGTGAAATGTTTGTTAGATGCTAGTTATTGAAAATTAAAAATTATTAAAATTAAAATCAAATATATACATAAAATAATTCATTGCAGTTGAGAAACTGAATTGCGAAATTAAGTTGTTTTTGTCGTTTAATGTTATTTATAACAGATTTCCAAGCGACAATATTCTTATGAAAGAATGAATCAAGCTATGTACGAATATGAATAACATAGACCTACGGTGGATACACACGTCTGGTAAGTAAATTTTGGAGAGTTGTGAGTGATAATTGGAAATGGATTTAAGAATAAGGAAATAAGATAAAGCTTTGGACACAATATAGATTTGATATTCATAAATACGACTGTATAAATAGGAACTGAAGCTGGTTATTTAAATGAAGGCCTAGACCTATATAAAAATTGTGGATTAGTATAATAGATGTCTGTTGCACTTCTATGTATGTATGTATGTTATTAAATGAAAACAGAGGAAGTATGTTACCTTTTTTGAAAACATGCTAAACATATGCCAAAAAAAATTATTGACGATATGAGTGTTTTTTTTTCTTAGTTTTTACTTCTTATTGCGCTTCGCATTTTCTATTCTCCTCATTGTCTCCATGGATCTCAACTAAATTATTCTTGGCTGTACTGTTTTAGAAGACAAGGATCGGCTTATACTTATATTATTTTCAGCAAAGGATTGTCAATTTAAATTTCTGTATAATCATTGTGCGTTTAGCAAAGGTGAACACAACGATATCTTGGTGATCCTTAACTTAGTTTTCAACTCACTGTGAGACTCAATATATTTTGCTGATTTAATACCTTTTCTAAAAAGAATGTCTGGTAAGAATGAAGGATATTATTACTTGAACGCAAATAGAATGTTTCTAAACAACATCCTAAGTGGTTATTAAGCTCAGGGATTCACTTATCCATTTGTAAAACCATTTGCCACAATTATCTTTAAATTTGTCAACAGTCGTTAACACAAATTTTATTTTAAAATGCTAAACATTTCACAACAGTTTGAGATGAGGAAAACAGCGTAATTGCATAACTCTTTCCAAAAAAACAATGAGAGGTTCAATAATGATTTTAAAATATGTGACTTTTACTTACTCTGTGCATGGAAACTTGGAGCATTTGCTAGAAAACATAATAGTAAAAACATCAACATTGTGAACGGTGGTTTTCCAACACTAACTATAGGTCTTCGTGTGCAATATCATTCGATTCAGTAGAATAAGCGACCAAGTTATTCTGGTTTTTTTTAAGGATGCTTCCTCGAGCCTGGTTCGTGAGTGAGTAAACGTTGCAACTCTTTTGGTACCAGGTATCCAGCAAGCAGTTTGACCAATGGCATGGCGCTTATTCATTCTGAGTCATGTACAGCATAATATCATCTTCCTCTATCTAAATTAGATTACGATAGTTCATACTTTTTTTTCCTTCCTCCAATTGCCTACGCGTTTGGAATTCGAAGGGGTATACTGCACTCTTAACATTTCCTCTGGAAAATTGGAAAAGCGTAAAGTTTTAGTGTTAAAATATGTGACTTTTACTTACTCTGTGCATGGAAACTTGGAGCATTTGCTAGAAAACATAATAGTAAAAACATCAACATTGTGAACGGTGGTTTTCCAACACTAACTATAGGTCTTCGTGTGCAATATCATTCGATTCAGTAGAATAAGCGACCAAGTTATTCTGGTTTTTTTTAAGGATGCTTCCTCGAGCCTGGTTCGTGAGTGAGTAAACGTTGCAACTCTTTTGGTACCAGGTATCCAGCAAGCAGTTTGACCAATGGCATGGCGCTTATTCATTCTGAGTCATGTACAGCATAATATCATCTTCCTCTATCTAAATTAGATTACGATGGTTCATACTTTTTTTTCCTTCCTCCAGTTGCATACGCGTTTGGAATTCGAAGGGGTATACTGCACTCTTAATATTTCCTCTGGAAAATTGGAAAAGCGTAAAGTTTTAGTTTTAAATTCTATATAGAAATATAATAAAATACATTGAAAGAATATTGTCCGTACAAGTACATGAAATATATACATTATAAATATGATCGTAGACAAAGAAAGGAAATCAACTATTCTCATATATGACAATATAAGTACAACAAAAGATGGTAGTTTAAATAAAATGAAAATGTAAAGACAGTAAAAGTATATATGTATGTATATATTAAACGTGAAATAACCATAAAATATCATATATATATATATATATATATATATATTACTTTATAATGTTTATATTTATACTGATAAAAATTCTAACTCAAAAATTCATATAACCACAAATAACCATAAAAATAAATATTTAAAAAAAACATAAATTAATTTTTTTTAAATATATTTTAAAATGTTTGTATTGATCTTTTATAATTTTAGAAATTTAAAAAATATTATGATATTTATGTTATAAAGCATTTTTTCTGGGTTATGTATTTTGCTGTTTTTTTATTATTGTAATTGTTGTCTTTTTTTACTAGGTCCTGTGGGAGAACAGTGGACATTCTACTGAATGGGGTTCCCAGTATAAAGCATAAAAATATTAAAAAAATAAAAATTAAAAATAAACATTTAACTTTATAATGTGTTTATTTATAATGATAGGAGTTCTAACAATTCTATGGTGGAATATTATTAATTTGAATTAAAACAATTACTAAATAGTATATAAAGGACATAATAGTGATAATGCAGAAATCCGAAGTCATATTGACACACTTTCTCTTTATGCAATCTGTCTGTAACCACTGAGCCTACATTCACGAGGCTGACTTTATGAGACATTATAAACCTGTCTATACTTTCAAGTTTTTTAATTCAAAATAATTACCTAGGCCTATGATTTAGGCCTAGTAATCACTTACTATAATATTTTCAGAAATGACTTAAACCTAGTATGCTTGCGTTTTTTAAGACTATAAGGAAGTTAGAGATGAAGTTAAATTGTATACAAAACAATTACTTTGAGAACAATAGATTACAAAATTTATAGAATCGTACGCCAGAAATGCTTGTTCTGGTTCTCTGGTAACGCCGACCTCCTAGGGCTCCGTGTTGGAGGGAAACAGGAGGGGTAGAAATAGTGTCGAATGTTGTTTGAAAGGGAAAGACGTTTTGGTGGATGGATACACATTTTACAAAAATACTGGGTTCTGAAATTGAACAAACTAAGAACAAATTGAGACGAAAGGAAAATATCAATGAGGTTTTCATTTTAAAGAAATAGAAAAACCAATATACAACAGTATAATTCGTTTGGTCTTATCTGTACCTTTTGTTCAGTGTGGTAGGTAATACCCTTTATGGAACATTACAGTAATATTCTGCTATAAAAGAGTAAAATAGGAACAAATTTGAAACTGGTCAAAACAATAAGAACACTGAGCCTGGAAAAATTTGTACTGTTTCTTATAAAGAAAGTGTAATGCAATCGAACTAAATTGAAATAAAAAGAGAATATTATGGGACAGTATATGTCCCAGAATTATTAAATAACAATGAGATAGGATAGTTGCGCTACATCCTCTTTGGGCAGCAATATCGTTTGTCCTTGTTCCTTCAAATTTGAATGAAGTGTAATTCTTCAGCATGATTCGTGATTGTTCCGCTACATGATGTTAAATTATTTAAAAAAAAGAACCTTGTACCCAAAGAAATGTTATAGTGATTTAAACACAATGAACGGTAGGAATATTAATCAGACTGATTAAACGACAGGTGATTTACAATGTACTATTAAAGTATAATCGTTTGTACATCAAGATTTTCCAATCGTAAAATCTAACCGTGGCTTTAAGCGTTTTAGGAGAGTCTCTAGCAAGGCAAGTAATTCAGATATGATTTTTTTAAGGCCTGTTTGGCGAATCCATAGACGGAAGAAGATACTATTACAAATGATGAGTAATAGATCTAGAAGTGGATAATGATAGAATATTTGTTTTAAATCATCACGTTGTTACTGACGTTTTCAGTAACCTCTTTCGAGAAAACTTTCCGAGATCAAATCTGCGTCACAATTATCGTCCTTCACATATATTTTATTAACGCAATTAACGTGATTCAGGAACGACCTGATCGTGCCATTCACGGGGATACGTTTCAACTCAATTTTATTATATAAATAGAGATGACGTATATATTTTAAGGTTTTGTTTTGGTTGCTGTTGTAGTCGAATTATAATACGATCAGACAAAACCGTTTAAAATGTTGTCTTTCTTAATGTCTTTTGGTGTTTTTTTTCCTTTTCTTTTCTTTTTCTTTCTAACATTGGTTAAAAATTTTTTTTAATAATATAGGCTTATAATTTTTTAATGAATATTTGGAGTTCCTAAGTATTTTAAAACTTCATGCAATTTATATTCTATAAATCGTTATGCATAATTTGTCTGCTGGCCGAAATATTTATAATGGGATCTATAAAGAAAGGTTTCTGCATTACCGAAGTAATCTTCCCATGTAAATGCCATTTGTACTATTCAAGCATTACATTAAACAAAATACTGATTTATTCGTCAATTAAAACAGACAGATGTTATATACTTGTTAAACAGTGTCAGCCATTCCCAGCAAAGCTATAATTCATCAATAATAATTTTACTCACCGAATCATTAAATCAAGCAATTTTTTCCAATTATTTCCGTTGGCTTTATATAAATATATGATAGAAGAATACTATATAATGCAGTATTACCAATATAAGTTTGTTGAACTGATAAAAAAAATGAGAATTTCAGACATTTACCCATTCATGATTTTTAAAAAGATTTTGAACAAATTGATATATAGGAGTCTTTTTTGCCTTCATGGCGTGTTATCGTACTGAACACTCAGTAGTTCCCAAATACTTTAAAACATTTAAAAAACGTAAGTGATTCGGGTGAGAATCAAACACGTACACGACCTCCAGATAACTAGCCTGTTATAATGTTATAACTACTAGACCACCGAACTTGCGCAAATTAATATAATAGCAATTATATATGTACTGCAATTATGGTAAGTAATTTAATTAGTTATAATAAAATTATTAACGCACAATTAACGACAAGAACGACAAAAAAAATCCTCGCTAATTTTACAGTTGCACAATATACTGTTCACTGACATAGACCTTTAAATTGGGTGGTAATCAATTTAAAGCTGTTCGTAGTAAAAGATCTGTAAATTAATGAAAATGAATTTTGCCGGTCTGTGATTCAACGGAAATTGATAAGATCCACAAACGTAAGCATATAGACATAGACTTCATTCAAAAGTTCCTTACCAACCATCAGTCACCCGATACAGTTTTTTGTTGGTAAATTGGTAATCACAGGGCTAAATCCCTATTTAAGGTATTATAATAATAAACCATTTTGTAGTCTAAACTGCGCATGCCCATATCCAAGGTTACTTGACATACTGTAATTTCATTCTTTCCTGGACATAAACCTATGCTGTGTGTTTGGGAGGGATATTAAAAGTATTCCACCATGATGTACCGTATGTATGTTTACCGTACTTGCGTGAATAAGCGCCCGGCGCTTAAATTATTTGTTGCACTTTTAAGGGGCGCTTATGAAAACAGAGTGGAAATTGAGGGGACGCTTATGGAAATATATGAATATTGGGTGTTTTTTATCGGAGCTTTGAAAATTCAAGTGAAGATTTTGAATGAAAAATGAAACATATATAAGGACATCTGGAAACCGAAGATTGCGAATGGTTCTGGCGCAGAAAAGAAATCGTCCAGAGAGCATTGCTAAGAATGTCAGTTTCAACAGCAGATGAAATGGTGGTGGTGGTGTACTGCTAACCATCTGCCGATTGAGATAATTAGCAGGTTCATTGCAGGGCTTCTTGCAAAATTTAAACGTGCTAAAAGTTGCAAATTGTCAGGAATTGAAAAAAAAGGACTAGAAAAATGTAAGAAGAGGAAAGTTTGAAAGATACTTTCTCATCTGCCCAGAAGAAAATGTCCTCATTTTTTAAGTTGACATAAGATGAATATGTGCATACACTCCATAGATCAAATCATGCCACCAAAGTCCCGGGATTGATTGGATTATTGGCTTGCTAAGAAAAAAATCACACGATATTTTTTTAAAAATGAATAAACATCGAAGGGGCGCTTAAGAAAATGTTCACACTATTCGAGATGGGCGCTCATTCAAACTGGGTGCTTATTCGCACGAGCACCGTATATCGAATGAACTTGATATTATGGGCATGCGCAGTTCAGACTACGAAATGTCTTATGAGAACTATAAAATCTTGAAAACTAGCCCTTTTCAATACCAATTATTAGTAACATCTATTCGATATCATAATGTTTTTTTATTTTATTTTTTTGTCAAGAAACACTTAAGCTTATTATTATATTGCATGTCTTTGAACGCTGAAGTTATATTTTACTTCTTAAATGATTCATATGTTTACCTCAGGGGACATAAATTAAAGTTTGGTTACTCTGTTACTGTTTCTTATATTCAGAATAATTATTAAGATATTTTCCCAATAGTTTCGAGATATTGTTTCGGCGGCTTGGCTAACACAAACTTGTTTAGTCTAATGAATACCATGGACTTCAGAAAAGTGTATAGGCTAGTATGCGAGATCGTTATTCAAGTCGCTTTTAATGTTGTCGAATACATGTATGCTTGTCATAATAATAATTTTAGGCTTATATTCGTATTTACAGTATTTGGCCATGAACCATGCGAAAAAAACGGCCATGAATTGTTTGGAGGTCCTGTGATTCTGCTGAGTTGTAAAGTATGTGCCATCTATTTGTTCGTTTTGGTTTATAACTTGATTTTTATTTGTTCAATTTCTTAACAAAATGCAATTTCTTTTTACAACAACATTCATCATTATTGCCGTGGCATAATATTTCATATAATATAATCATTTTCGGGCTCACCATTTAGTAGAATTTCAAACTCCGAACGCATAGGCTGAATTGCCCACTGACCACTGAAAAGAAACTCGTCTTAGCCTAAATATTTTACAGTAGGTCTGTTAATAATCTCCTCAATAACCAGTCCCAAGTGCCGTACCGTACGATCCAAGGGAACATGACCACATGTTTTGCAACCTGTCATTTCACTACGCTGAACAAAAACCATTAGAAATTCATCGGCTTATAGCTTTGTTCTAATTACTAGGGTTAATCAATTAAAACCACAGCACAGTACCAATAATAATGTACACTATGGCTGTGACTGTACACGTAGAATAGTAAACGTACACACTATTTTACAACGCCAACGCAAGTATATATATTTAAACACTGATAGTGTAAATCGTATGAAACATTATCATCTCAATTGTTATATATAATTATATATTGTTATATATAATTCTGTAAGATGGCTCAAATACGGGTAAAACTGTCTGCTGCTCAGCTTATAACTGTCGTTGCGTTCCTGATCATTACAGTGGTTTTATATTTAAATTCAGTAGGCCTACCGGCAAAGATAACAGGTAGGATAATATATGTTGACGTAATGTATTTAAATTAAATGCATTTAGCCTGTGAACTTTCGCTATAATGACTCTATGGTAACGTCATACGTACCAAGGGTGTGAGAAAACATCCCGTGGTAATCATGATTATGTGAGGGTTGTATTTTCTTTTTCTTTACCATTATTTATTATAGTATGCACTGATTATGTATAGATAATATTAAACAATCTGTTCAATTTTACGTAATTAGATCCGTCTGAAAGTAGGTTTAGAAGCATTCATTGACTCGAATATATTTTAATTATATATTTAGGCCTAATATATTTATAGGCTGTTGATACAAGAAACCTCAAAGCGTTCCAATGCCGGCAATCACACAAACCTAGGGGAGTATTCCTGTACCAAACATTAATAGACTCAGACTACACCACTATCCTATTTGGTGAAAGGCGAGACAAATTATACAAACGAGTAGTTGAAACTCGATTATATGTATAATTGTTAATTTTTAATAATATTTGTAGACCTATATATAATTACCTATATACATATATAGGCTATATTGTATGTATAATATATACATACATATTATATGTATAATATAGTTAATTTTTAATAATATATACCGGTATTATAGACAATTACCATATACATGTACTGTCGTATATTATATATGATATTGAAGGGAGTTAGTCGTTAACACTGTTGAATAAGTATAATATAAATCATCAAAGGTACATACACAGTGTTTAAATAAGGACATGATGGAACATCGTAGGCTACCCTGTAGCTTTTCAACGACGATAGGACTTTATTCTTTGAAAAGCTACAGGGTAGCCTATACGATGCTCCTTCATGTCCTTACTTAAACACTGTATATGTACCTTTGATGATTTATATTATATTTATTCAAAAGGCCCTTAGGGGAGAAGCAAGTTAGACCTACTATGAAAGCTAGTCCACACTTCCAGCGCTTTGAGACCGTTTCGGTATAAAGCGCTATATAAATCTAACTACATTAGGCCTCATGTCATTTCAATGTTTGTCATTGGTTTAGTTTGTTTTAATTTTTTGTTTTAAATTGAATTAGAAGGTTCTAAATAAGTGGTGAGCCCTCACGAGTCATTAGTGGAATAAACTCTACTCCAAGCTAACGTCGCCTTCTGGAAACTTGTAAAATCATGGTAAAATATTGTGCCACAGCAAGTGAATATTTACCGGAGAGACTGTAATCCTAAGGTTTAATATTTTCGTATAATTTGAAGGCTTAGGATTATATAGCCCTTACTCTCCGCCAAGATATGAAAAATAAACCACATTTTAGTCCAGAATAGAATATTGTACTCATCTCTTGAGCATGTTCTCATTGATTTGTGAAAATGAGATGTATCTTCCATATTCTGCATGGTTCGAACGACACGCTCTCCTATGGTTCTGGTTGTAGAACAAGCTTCCTCGGATAAGGACTATGAACCGTAGGCCCAGTGTACACTTTGGATCGTGTGCACTATAAAGAACCCAGGTACACCCAGGTACATCATCCGAGACGAGTAGGGGAATACCCTGGTGTAGTGGTACAAAAGGCCCCTGTTGTGGACGAGAGTTGCACCGGGCTACCGAGTAGCAACACACAAAGGGACGATCCATAGGGGAGAAGAAAGCCATTGATTGAGTTCCTTGTCCACGTGTCCAAGCGCTTTGTATCCATTGGCAAAAAGCGCTATATAAATTTCTATTTAGATTTCAGATTTTTCAATGTACAATAAGAAGATTATTAATACAGTGAACCACATCCAAAAAAAATTAACGGTACAGGTACTCTATTATGAAAATCAAACCCACATTCAATGTAACAAATGTCAATGCATACGGCACGTAAATATATGTCACCAAGTAATCTTTAACTTTATCCTTTATTTTAGATGTGCATCCTTTAAAATACGACGGCAGACGACATCGAGAGACTTTAAAAAGACATCGCCAACCTGTTAAACATTCTATGAAGGTATTAAGTATATTATATCCTTAATCCACCGATTGCCGTATGGCTCAGGGAGTAGTTTTGCACTGACGTTGAAATCTGCGGTCCTAATAATAATCTACATTCCGCATTTATATGCCTACTTAACAGTCATTAAGCCGGACACTCAGTGAGCCCGACGGTTGGCCAACGCGATTCTATGGAGAACGTAACGCCACAACGCACGTGCAACGGATCGTTTTTTTAATTATGGTCCGTTCAGACTGCCACCAAGAATCAACAGACGGCGTGGAGTCGGCTATAGCGCACACAAGGAGCGAAGTTGGATTCGTCGTACGACGAGTCGCGACGGTCGTACGATGCAGTGATTGTCGGCTTAAAGTGTAGCTAAATTAGAACCTAGTATTGTAAATTGATAAAAATGCTTTATCATCGATTTACCTCGACAGGATATGCACATGCGTGTGATAATCCTACTTAAAGCTGTGTCAATCAATGTGTTACGTGGATGAATTAATTCAATTCCACCTACAGGTGAAGTCCAGAAAAATACAAATTATTATACTGTACCACACCTTCTTTTTAAACCGTTATTCTTTACCGGTAACTGTATCTGCATCATGCATCTGAAGTGTTTAGAAATGGTGTTGAATGGTTTCTATACATATTATTCTCGAAACCCAAACGTTCCCCTGCCGCTTTAGTCACTGGAAATAACTCACAGAATCGCAATTATCCCCTGGCCTTTACAACCCTGAGCTTTAGGAGTTGTAGTACTTCAAGAAGATTTTGGTAGACCTCACCGGTGAATTTTACTGAATGGGGCACAAGGTTTATTTAATACAAATACGGAATAGATTTCTGTGATACTAAACCCTATTGGAATTCGCAGCATTAGCCTGCAGTAACGAGTGGATCTTATGGCATACTTTATTAAGTATAACCAATTTTAATTTATTTATTCCTATAAGTTCACATCTCACAACCATCCTGTAGATTATCAGTTATTATAATTATTATTATAATTATTATTATTATTATTATTATTATTATTATTATATTATTATTATTATTGTTGTTGTTGTTTTTATTATTATTATTGTTATTGTTATTAATGTTGTTGTCGTCGTTGGCTGCGGCGGCGGCGTCGTTGTCGTCGTGTTTTTCATTTACATTACCGTTTTGGAATTGTTAAAATGAGTTTTTAATTTATTTGTACCGAATTGTCTTGACTTTTTATAAACCTAGCATATTATTAATATTAGTATTACTAAAATCCTTATTTTTGTTATTGACAGAATTGCAGTGTAGAAAAGTGTACTTTTGAAGAAGTCCAAAGAGAAAGGAAATTGCACGCTTGGAGGGTATGCAACACAACAGAGTATAGACAAACAAATAATTCCTATTTCGCTCGTCATCGTTTTGATCATATGTATTATTTAAACAGAACTGGTATCGTATTTTGTACTGTTCCAAAAGCGGCGAGCACTACTTTAAAGAAATTAATGCTTGCCTCAAACGCATTAGATTACAATTTTGTATCAATAAAAAACACTCACGACGTGTTTGATAGACACGTTATAAAACTTTCAAAATTGCTCGAGACCGAAATAATGAACATATTACACAACTCTACTAAAATAATGATTGTCAGACACCCGTTCACTCGACTGTTGAGTGCATTTAAAGACAAGTTAGAACCAATTTGGGCCGAGAGTTATTTTCCCAGGTCTGATTTCATATTACATATCCAGACACAATTAGGGCTAGAAAAGAGTGGGAGGATTACATTCAGTGATTTCTTGCGGTATTTAAATCTCCTTGATAACGAATATCATCTCGATGCACAAGAGCATTGGCGAGAGATTTATAAAATATGTATGCCATGTGAGGTCAAGTATGACGTCATAGGAAAATTTGAACATCTTTACGATGGTGAACTTGAATCGATATATAGGTTATTGAATATCAGTGATGTGTACATTCAACCAGAACATTATACAGGCGCATCAGAAAAAATGGTGATAAAACAATATTTTTCAACTTTGTCAAAAGAGACATTGAAGAGGCTTTACCAGCGTTATCGGATTGATTTTGCATTATTTTCATACAGGATGGAAGCAGAAAAAAGCGTTTAAAACTGCAGTTTAAACAGAATAATATAGCAAAGTAAACTAATTTTTTATTGTTACATCGTTCTACCACTATGCATCATAGACTATTACTTGCTTTTCATTACTGTATATTATATCTGTACGGTTCACTCTAAAGAAAAGGAGATGTGAAGAAAAGAGCAGGAGCTCTTGAAATGTTTGCTGGTGTTCAGTCACACAAGCAAGGCCAAGGGCCACTCACGATAAGGGGTTAGGATAGTTGAAAAGAAAATGGTTGACAAAAGATTTAAAATATTATGCAAGATGAAAGGAAACTGGATACAATCAGCTGACAAAGTATTCCAAAGAGAAGAGAAGCAAGACAAACAAATGAATTTGAAAATGTGGAAGTTCTGCAGCTTCAGATCTAAGCAAATCTGGTGTTTCTGGAAAGCCTACGAACAGATGGGATAAGTTGAAAAAGCTCCTCAGAGCAATGGCGATTAAAATAACGGTAAAGCAAACTGAGACAAGCAACATTGCGCCGATGAGCCAAAGGTTCCAGCCTATAAAACCCAGCTCTGGTCCGATCAGATGGATAACTCGACGTTGATATTTATCAAGAGAAAGATGACAGACGGGAGCTCCAGAGACTGAACAAGGTCTAATGGTGGATTTGTGCAAATGAAGTACTGCCTCATGTGTAAGGAATCTGCTGGCCCGGAACAAGCATCCAAACTTCTGTGTATGATGTATGATTAATAAGCTGAAATGGCAACCGTCTTCCTCTCTTCCTTTTTATTGACTTACTGTTAATAGTTAAATAATAACAGTGCTCGAATAAAAAAAATTATGTAATAATCAAAGTGAGTGTCATGTCATGTCATTGATAGACGCTGCATTCTCGAATCTCGTCATAGAAACATAATGTTACTATATGTTCCTATTTGAATAAATTGTCTATATCGTGAGATGTCAATCGTGTTCATCTTCAATTTAAATTATATATATATAATATATATATATATATATATATATATATATATAAATGGGCTCCACTTAACAAAAGCTCTCAGTTGTATAAATGAAGACAGACTAGTAGTCTTAACTCTGTAATAATATCGTTATCGGGCCTCTAACGTAGTCTAAACGGCATGATACTCGCCGAGATAGTGAGAGATTTCGCTTTCGATTCCCACCAGAGACCTCTTTTTTCATACAACTATAATAAGGAACTTTCGTTGAAGAACTATGTTTGATACGATTTATTTACGATTATAATTAATCAAAAATAAATTACAGGGAGGATATACATTTGCGTTGATTCTTATGACCTTATTGAAAGGCATATATAATTATATTATATGTTGTTATTTCAAAGTCACACTAATGCGAAAATTTTTTATTTTAATTACTTTTTAATTAATGAATTATTATTTCACTTTTTAACGAATGCTATAAAATACAGGTCTTTAATGGAGCGGGTAGACCTACAGCTTCAAACTTACCAACACACTTTGATACCACTAAAAAGGAAGTCAAAAATGACCATCGAGCACTGAGAGACTGAAAATGAATACGGATTTGAAAAAGAGCAACGACATGAATGGTATGTGAATTTCAAATCAAGCAGCTTTGGAAGTGGGAAGAGAATTAAAGAAAAATACTAATAAATTGAGAAAATCTAATATCTCATTAATAAGCGTATAATACTGTATTAATTGAAAAGTAAAAATGTAAGGTTTTCAGGCCCGTATCCAGTAGGTGGGGTGTTGCGAAGTGTGTGTAAGCACCAGGGAACAGTTAAATTGCACGAAAACATGCGAAATTTTATGAATTTGTTGAGATAGGTTTATTTTCGGGAGATTCTTGCTTAAAGCATTTCTGCTTGTTTCCGAAATGGTCCCATTAAAGTAATAATAAATAACGCTACAGTGACAAAATACAAAAACGGCCTTATCCATAGCTCTCAGTATCAACAACATTTCATGTCACCTTATGTTTTTCAGTCAAATGATTCAAATTCAGAAGTACCATGATGGTCTCCGGCGAAGTTAGTTTCACCTATTACAAAACTTGGATTGTAGATAACAGATAATATTATGATTGATTAACACTTTTTTATGAAAATTGTCTCAATCAAGCAATCTAATTACACGTTCCTTATGTTTTCTGCTAAATGATTTAGTTTTTGGCCCTGGAAGCTATAGTAGTCTCAGAAAAACTGGCATGGTGTTTAAATGGTAATAGTTTCATCCTGTAGTAAAAATATGTAATTATTGTATCTATATTATGGAATTGTGGCTGTTGGAGGTTGATGTGCACTTAAAAAAAGACAGGAAACTCTCAATCTCAATACAAAGGTTCTACACAACAAAAATGATGATTTTCCATTATTTCATGAAAATATTAATAAACATGAATAAACATGTTTGTTATCAGTGTATCAGTCTAGTTACAAACAAGAATCTGCAAAGTATCGGTAAACTGAGAAATCCAGCTAAATTTGTACAAAGAACTACGAAAATGAAATTTTCACTAATAGAGGGCAGCAGACAATGACATGTTTAATGGCAAACATCTCCGTTACTATTCATTTTGTTATATTAGTGTAATGGAAAAAATATTTAGGGCCTTGTTTGACTAGATGTGTCCGCCATCTTGTTTTCCAAGATGACGGCCAGTTAACCTTCTCTAATGAGAGCAGCTTAGCTCAGTCGGCTAATCTGGTGGTAGCCGCTGTGTGTGTGTTGAACCGTGGAGATCTCTAGGTCCCCGGTTCAATTCCCATCGCTGTCTCTCCTTGTGTTTCAGCAAGAGAACTGAAATACAAGTTACAATAGCGCATCGTCTTTCGGATGAGACGTTTAAGCCGTTGGTCCCGTGTGCATTATGGCCCATGTGCACGTTAAAAACACAGTACACTCTTCGGAAAAGTGTAGGGGATTGTCTCCCGGTGTACTGCCCAATCACCACCAGAAGGACCCCACTGGAAATAAGTCTTCTTCTAGACTTTCGTGGGCTATCCTTGGTGTTTACACCGAATAAATCCAATCCAATCTCGAAAAAATTGGCACCAACATATTTCTTGTTCAATATAAAATTCTGAGTCGGAAAAGCGTTGTTGCCATAAATTTACATGAATTGCGAAAAAAAAATACATAAGCCCCTGCACTAATTACATACAACCCAAAAATTGTCATTTAATTTAACTTGTCACTCCGAAAAGCAAGTATAACAGATTTGATGAACCAAAGGCTCAAGTTTCAACAAACCATATATTATTAAAGAAAATTTATATAGTTTCATTAGTCTAAACGCAGTTCCACCACTGAAGACATCATGTCTGCTATCTATTATGTTACTAATATTCTAATTAATACAACAGCTGGGAATTCATCATGTTGATTACATACTGTAATCGCGCGAATAAGCGCCCGGGCGCTTAAAATATTTTTTGCGCTTTCTGGGGGGCGCTTATTCAAACGGGGCGCTCATTTAAACGGGACGCTTATGAAACAGAGTGAAAATTGAGGGGGCGCTTATAGGAAATAGATGAAAATCGAGGGGTTCTTATGGGAAATTATTAAGTTCAAGAGGCACTTTTTGAATGAAAAAAGATTATATAAGGACATTACGAGTTGGTTAGAAAAGATAATCGTCCAGAGAACATGGCTCATGACAAGAATGCGTGAATATTTACATAACAGCAAAATAGCAGATGGAATAAGTGATGGTGGGTAGTGGTTAGCTTGTTGGACATCGGCCGATTGAGATTAGCAGGATGGCAGGATCATTGTATTTTTTCTTGAAAACTCAGATGAGAAGGTGCTAAAGGTCAGGCCAAAGAAAAAGAGGAGTAGGACTAGGCATAGACAAATATGTAAAAAGAGTAAAGTTGAAAATATACTGTCTGCCCAGGGATCGGAGCTCTCATCTGTCCAAGAGAAATATCCTCATTTTGATATTGACCGAAAAAGAATGTGTTTCCACTCTACAGCTCAAATCATGCCAACAACCACAGTCCAAGGATTGATTGGATTATTGACTTGCTAAAAAGAAAATCTTATGAGGGGGCGAAATTTTCACGTTAGGAGGGGCGGTTATTCGAGAGTGGCGCTTATTCAAACGGGGCGCTTATTCGCGCGAGTATGGTATATTGTTAGCGTGTGTGTAGTTTCGTCATCTGCACAGTGTAAGTAGACAGTTTTTGTCCGCATGTCAATGCTTCTCAAAATTGTGTAAAATACAGTATTATAACTTATAGGATTGATAGTGTCAGTAAACAGGCCCGTAGCCATGTTTGGGAGAAACCCCCTTCACCAGCGAACCCTCTGCTTCTTTCTGGTAAACCCTCTCCCCCCCCCCCCCCCCCCTCAAGTATTTTTGTTCATGACAAAGCGCAGAATAGGTCTTGACTTTAAAAAAAAAAGAAAAATAATAGCTTTTATAGCATTATTTAGACCTATAAAACAAAAATCTGGCTGACCCCACCGGGTTCGCCCTTGGAAGAACCTGGCTACGGCCCTGGTAAACACTAAGTATATACCGTACCTGGTCTTATCATCTTGGTTTGGATACTTTTTTTTAAGAGGAAAGGATGAATACGGAACCCTTTCAAGTATAATGAATCCCCTTACTACTTGGGATGTCCCAAAGAAAGAACGGAATATATTTTATAATGTACGGTATATTATATATGATATTAAACAAAAACCCATATTATATAATAAAATATATATTGTATTATTAATTTTAACTATATTGCTGTAAATCGTTGTAAAGTTATCAGTGTCTATAAGACCTTTGTCACTTGTGCGGTCCCTCTCATAGAATAATGATTTCATGTGTGGTTCGTACAACCGAAATTATATGATCAGAGTAAAAATAAATCGTGCAACTTTCTCTAGAAGTCAAAGAGGCGCGAAAGAAAAGCGCGAATCCTAACCGTCTCACGAACCTCAATATTTGTTTGTATTTATTCAACAATTTTAATATAACAGACATAACATCGACCCAGAAACGACAGGATACAAAGCGCTGTGGACCTACTCGTTTCAAAGTGTCTCTTCATGTCTGAGCGTATACAGTACCCGATAAACCGGTACCAGACTCTCGTCTGTACACCAGTACAAGGAGGTAACCCCCGAGAGCCCTAGTATCCGGATCGGGAGCTAACCGTTAGCGCTAACCGTTAGCACCTGCGTGAGAACGCCCGATCGGTTAGCGCTAACCGTTAGCAGTATCCGGATATCGCTAACGGTTAGCAAGTTGAGCGTGTTTCTATCATCAACCAATCACACGTTCGCGTTTACAATTTCCAGTTTCTTATTGGCCAGCGATTCGATCATCATATTTTTGGTATCCGGATCGGGATTTTCTCGGATGGACGCACGGCAGCTAACGGTTAGCAGGATCCGGATCCTGCTAACCGTGAGAACATAGGCATTGTGTACATTGTTGAGCCTACGGTTTATAGTCCTTAAGACTTGTTTCACCACCAGAACCATAGGCGATCGTGCCTTTCGAGCCAGCACTATTATGGCTATAGGTTGCGGCGCCCCTGCACTAACCGCTCAGTCATCCAACTCGCCAGCTCGCAAATGGAACCTCCCTGAACTATGCTTGAGGTACAAGCTGTATATTATTGTGCTTGATTACTAATTCACTATGGATTTTAATAGACTGTTGCTTCTCTAGAATGTAACAATAACACTCTAATCACAAATTAGGCAGAAACGAGTGGGTCTACAGAAAATCATCGCAGTCCCTCTTTAATATATCTTTTACCAATGTTTATACACTGCGATGCGGAGTAATCATATTTCGATTACAATATATTTCGTCTGTAGAACCATATTGAAAAACGAGGTTAGATAGTTACAGAGAATAGGGTCTATACCAATTGATATTAGGCCTATATAACAAACATGAACTATTATTATTACCACAATTGCATATAATCGGATATATTTTATCACTTTATATTAAAGAAATCACAATGTTCGGATTTATATCTTGTAATTCTCTTCTAAGCTACCTTACATTTGGACCTTAATTTACTTTTATTATTATTATTATTATTATTATTATTATTATTATTATTATATTTTATTGTTATTATTACTATCATTATACTTTATATAATTCATCATTTATCATTATCATTATTCTTATCATTAGGCCTATTATTACTATTAATATTATTATTATTATTACGATTATTATTATTATTATAATCATTATTATTATTATCATCATCATCATAATCATCATCATTATTATTATTATTATTGTTGTCGTCGTTGTTGTTGTTGATGTTGTTGTTATTATTATTATTATTATTATTATTATTATTATTATTATTATTATTATTATTATTCAGAGAGTTTTGTCGGAATTCTCCACAAGTCATTTATATAACCACCCTTATTTCCAGTGTACCGCGGAATTTATTCAAGTCTCTTCATTTTCTTAACCGAATCAAAGAATTATTACCGTAAGTTATTATGCATCTGCGTTCACGTGGTCTATATTCTTCCATCTATATTTTGAGTTTTTGCATGAAAGTCAGCTCTATGTTTTTTTATTCAGCCACTCCAGTCCAGCTTGAATCTCTTTTTCCACTGCCTTTCTTGATTTTTCCATAATTAGGCTTATGTCGAATCATTATTTGTATACTGTACATAGAATAAATACCCCAAAATTCCCTTGGTTGCCTATGTTCATATTATTGCCGCTGTCTCGTCTGGATCAGAATTTTACAATTTACAACAAAGCAATCGTTGAACAATGGGAGCATCAGAGCGTTCAAGCCTTACCTGCCCGAGCTGGCGCAACCCTTTATATGTTCTGGGTGTTTATAAGAGATGATTGGAGGCTCCGCATTGAATAACCATAGGTATATGGAATAACACTGCAATATGAAGAGCTTTTTCATCATTGTGGCAACGGTTTCGGCGATAGCTATTTCAGTTTGTCAATCTCAGTGTAAGTAGATCTACAGTGTATTTACACACTAAATATAGTCATAGGCCTATTCATTTGAATTTGTATCTTCTAGGTTAAATCGTCCCTTAAAAAAAATCGATCGATCAAATTCACACGATAAAATTGAGGGAAGAGACTGTTCAGATGATTTTTAAAAACATCATCTGATATTCAAATATTTTCTACAAGTTCAACAGTTTTACATAAATACAGTATTTAACATACATTTGTTAATATTAGCTAGGTGTATCTATGAATATCATGTTCAATACAGGCCCGTTATATTATACGCCTGGGAAGGTCTGGCATGGACTAATCCATTTATTGAACAATTGATATTGACCAGGAACGGACACTAATGAAAACAGGCTCTCACCTTAAACAAAATTGTATTAGACCTATATTTTACACACTCTTTTACATAGAGCTTGGAGACTAAAGGATATGCTTATACCCGTATGATGCGAGTAGCTGATGGATGTAGTGAAATAATAACATGGATAAAGTGAAGTATTACAAAAATACAAAATCGTTTTTATGAAACGGTTGATTATTTTTCCTTGATAAACCGATGAAATTATTTGATCTCGATCGTATTGACAATGTTCATATTTATCATTGGCTAGAGCGCGTTATACAAGATCCTTTAATGCCAAATTTTATTCAAGCATTAGTCTAATTATATATTTAGAATGATCAACGATTGTTGACTAAGAGTAACAGCTGCTGTTGCCCGGGAAACCGTCAAACCAGTCTAATGCTGTATTCCTTTCATACGCATCTCGTCTCCTGACTGCGAAAATTAATCCAACAACATTAACCAGAATATTAACTACTAGTATTAATATTATAGTCTTTCCGTTGAATGTCGGTTAAAACCGTGGATTAAAATATGCCCTGCGCGACTATCACTAAACAGGAGCCATGGTGTCGGCGTTTTATTGTAGTTTCAATAGGCAAGATTATAAGTAAACAACGTTTTCAAATATCTTGTACATCGATCGTTTGTGTTCATTACTTTGTTTTTAAATAATTTCTATTATTTTGATTCTCAATATTCTCTAAATCGCTGATTTACATTATTGGAGAGCTAACCGTGTTTGAAACTAACATGTAAATGAAATTATATTAATAATATCACCTTTGTGTGAATTTGTCTCATAGTACGTTTACATTGTCAAATGTTGTGTAACCCCATAACTAGACATATACATTCGTAGGCCTGGCCTAGTGTAAAGGCCATAATATTAAAATAAACTGCCCCCTTTGTTTAGGTACCCGGCCATCATACAAGGCCAAAAATAATAGCCTTATACAATTGTCCGAGAGCGCTCGTGTCCTTCCAATGCACTGTGCAATACTTTCGATTTACTACCAAGGTTAACAAGAATAATCTAAATTGGTGAACAAGTGAAGATTTATTCTTAGTGTGGACTCAAAGTATTAGGCTTTGTACGTTATGGTTGAATCTTCACTCAAGCAAATATTTTTAGATTTATGTATCTTCATGCCGTAAATTTTAATTGTTGTTTAAAAATGATTGTTTATTCTGTAACTTTTTAAATTTTTTTAAATCCATCCAATTTCCAAGTAAATTAGACTACTTAACAAATACACCTACACAATAATACAGCCGCCATCCAGACAGCCGTGAGACAATTGTATTTTTTCCAGATATTGTCTGTTAGCGCAACACACATGATCAAGAATATATATTCTAAATATATTCATATAGGCCTACAAAAGAGATCACTGGTTCATTTTTCACAGGGGGTACTTTTTTTCAAACAATTGATTAAAAACTGTTCGTTGATAGCCTATGCACGATACCATCATTTTTGCATCATTGTTTGATTGCTAATTAAGGTTGTTTTACTGCAAATCATTCCAATTGGAACATTTTGCTTTAAAAAAAAAAAGCAAGAAAGCATCGTACGCCTATACAAAGTCCATAAGGAAACAGGTCCTTATAACTTAAACCTACTATAAAGCGAAAAAACAGGTACAAAGCATGGGCACCTATCATTAACGTTCAGGTATATACACAAAAGAAAATAGGTCTTATTGTCGTCAGCCCCCCCCCCCCCAAAAAAAATACAGGATCTTCTAATCATTATTTCACTTAGGTCTATTTAAAAAACCACATTATACAAACTTAAATATCAATAAAGGAAGCAGAATGTCGTTCTAAGTGAGTGCATCAAAATCATGTGATGCTGTGCCCTTGAACTGAGATAAAATTATTTTGACTGATGATAAAGCGAGTGATTTAAGCGTAAAACACGATTTTGCCAATATGTATTCGAAATTACGACGTATCTCAGTATACATAGAATCGTGATTAGGAAGTTTTACGTTATTTGTATATGCCTAAACATCAATACATACAGTATGTGATTTATTTTGCTTTAAAACATAACACCTGCTACCTCGCTTCTAATGAAAAAGCCTAAACTAATACTGTAGGCCTAATCTATTATGCCTAAAATCATATTGGCCCTTATATGCGTAAATTTAGTCAGAAAATGTTAAATCACTCGACAATTTTCCCTTGCATGTGTCTGATCTGGTGCCACGGCGTAGTGGTGCGCGGGGTGGGGAACACTCTCCAGTCGCCCCAAAAAATCACTTTATTCTGCGAGCTAGTTCCCTGGTCTCAAATTGAGCGCCACTTCACTTTCGCCCCCCCCCCCAACCACCACATCAGCCTGCCATATTTCCTCCCCAATTTCAAGACTCCTGAATACAATATGTACTAAAAACAATGATTATAGTCCTACAATAAATATCACTAGGCATATGCATATTCCTATTGTTGAAAAATAATATTATTATAAGTATTTGCAACGTCGTCATACTGCAAAGAATAAATAATGTTCTATTAATTTTCAATTATCTTTTATATTGAGCACATCATGCGTGAAGGAAAGATTATATTCGTTCAACATATCAGAATGAAATGAATATAAAAAGATATTGAAAATTCTGTTGTTTGAGTGACAAAAAACACAGCATAGCTCTCAATATCCAATTGCTTCCGATGAAACAAACACGGCGGAACAATTAATTTTTCGCTGACTTATTGATTATATTTATTGTGAAAATCATTGACTTTAAGCCAAAATACCAGCCAAATGAAGTAAAAAATGTAGGAAGTGTCTATTAATTACCGGTATGTGTCTGTTAATTAGTAGGATATTTCTCGTTCTAATTTTTAGTTAGGCCTAAATGCTGATGAGCCTATTAAATCAAACATAGGCAAATATTAATGTTAATTTTAAAATTCGCAGCAAAGTTGATTGTAAATTTTGATATTATGCATAGATATTGTTAGGACCTATATGTTAATTAATATGATGTTTGTTATGCGTAGGCACTAGGTACAGTTATTAGACTGGTGCAGCTTGTACTGTTACCTAAAGCAATGTTCATTTTGGGGTGTACGAACTTCTTAACGAACTGCTCAGAGCTGAGTCACGGTTATGATATGCATATTTGTCAAACGCTCTTTCTTTGCAGCTATAGACATTTCGATTGTGTTGTAACTATATAAATACACTAACTTTTCCAAATAATAGAACACATTTGGATAGTGCACAAAATTTGCATACAATCGAGAGTCCCTTGAAAAAAATTGACAAGTTATAAAGCAAGAATGAAAAAAAAAAATCTAAGAGACAATTATTGAAAAAGCATAGATTGGAAAGAAGCAGCTAAAACTATGGACTTATTAATTTAATATAAAATTAGGTATGACAGATTCCGTAACATCTGCCATAGATCTTAGACCTATATAATGACCTGCATTTAGTAGGATCATTGAATTTTGTATGGTCACGATTATTTAGGCATTACATTTCCGTCGATACAGCGGCGTCCAGGCAGGGTGTGAAAACGGAGCTCATAATGAATGGAACAAACAAACTAGACGTGACAGAGAGACAGTGTTTTGTGTCAATATTATAGGCTAGCAAGGTATGAGCATGGAGGTATTATAATACCTCCATGGTATGAGGATGTCCGGGAAGCAGCCCCCAATATCATTATACAGTAGCAGACGACATTTCGAACGAAGTTTGTTGGTCATGCGCAAAAACCACGTTGTTTTGTCAGTCTGGTTGATACGATGTTACATAACAATACATTATTAGCATAGGCCGCATCAACTCAGTGCTATATCCTTTGTTGCCTATGGGCTAGGCTAATTAATAAATAAGTAGTACTGTACTCCTCGACTTGGAGCAGTTTTAGTTTGGTCCTTGCATAGTATCTAGCCTAGGACCGGATAGTTTTTCCTTTCTTTTTTCCTTTTTGTTTGTAAGCCTACACTGGCTTACTGCTGAAGCCAGGACTTCCCCACTAGGCCTAGTTTGAGGGTAGGAAGGACCGACTGAAACCCAACTGAAGATACACTTGACCTGTGCTGGCCTTGCTATGCTAGGGCTCTTAGCCTAGGCCCTAGACTGTATTGTAGTGGGTGGTAGTTTATGTATCCCCAGGAAATGTTGTGTTTGACACTGTACTGTTGGTAATTAGCCGCCTAGGCCCTAGTCTTCTTAAACAACAATCAATGGTATTGTGGGAACGTGCCCATGGCATGGCAAAACCAGCAGGTTTATGGGAAGGAGGTTTCCTGTAGCCCTAGGCCTAGGCTAGCTAGGCCAAGTTTAAAAGTGTTTCTTTAATAGTAATCCAAAGTTACAAACAACATTATAAAATACTACTAGGGCCTACAGTAGTAAACTTGTGAAAAGGTGGGTTCAGACGAACCCCATGGGGAGGTCATATAAATAAAGGTCGTATTTTAGCAAATTAATTGCGAGCTTTCAGTTCTAGTGCATCTCTGCTACTCAATCCGGTATAATTTCTTCTTGCTCTGAGTGCATTTCATGTGGATTAAGTAGGACACTTCTGAGTGACTAGGAAGTAAATCGTCTGTAGTATGCATAACCTGAAGTAACTTATTGTGTTTTTTTTGGGCACCACTGCTATACTTTAAACTGCTTTTCAGAGCTAAAAATGTACCTAGGCCAAGTGTAAAGTAATATAGTTATAGTCAGAAATGTAAAATTAAATCAAAGTCATGACCTAGGCCTAGGCCAACTTAAGTAGGCTACTGTGGCTTGCTTTGGTTTCTGCCTAAAAAATTAATAATTATAAATTGAAAAAATATTTCAGTTTTATTTTTTATTCAGCCTGTACACCTTGTTGCCATTTTATTTTATATTTCCATGATGATTTGATATTTGTTTTTTTAATTTGTTATTTGAAAATTACAATAGAGCCGAAATAATAAACCTCATGCTACGTATAATTAAACTGTTACTTTCCTTTGTTTATAGCGGCATGTTTATCTGGGTACTTTGAGTGTGAACAAGCCAGGCCAGGGCAGAGTCCCTGCATTCCTCCACAAAAAGTCTGCGATGGAGTGAGTGACTGTGAATTTGCCGAGGATGAAGGGCAAGATGGCTGTATAAGTAAGTTAAGCTCTACATGTTATCAAATTTTCTCTGATGAAAAACTATTGTATGCCCACATATATCCATGATGTGCTTATATATGGTCATGATGTGATATCATCAGGACCATATTTATGCTTGTCCCATGTTCAGGGGTCCCAAGTCTCCCAGAACTCCCAGGTGTTTCCATGAAATCGGGACGGCCTCCCACACTCTTGCAAGCAAGCAAGAATTTTCCGGAAAATAAAGCCATCTACCACAAATTCATCATATTTGTAAGTTTTAACTACAGGTACTTGATTATCAGTTGTCTCAACGTAATTCGGTGCCGATGAGTATCATCATGCGTAAAAATTATAATTCAAATGGGTTAAAAAAGCCTGTTTAATCAGATCTTCGAGAAGGAATTTCTTCCAACTTGGGACCCCTGCATGTTTTTATCAAATATAATTTGATAGTCTAGTTGGACAGGGCTTCACACTCTTTTCTGCTGATATATTTACTTCCAAGTATGATTAATTAAAAATTTAAATATAATAAGAGTAAAGCAAGACATTTTATACCTTCTTATCTGCCCGCCAATGATGATTTTGAATAAAAATAAAAATTGTATTTTTTATCATTTAGCGCACCCTCGGCCAAAAAAAATTTTTCTTTATTTTTATTAAGCCTGTTGCTGCCTTGAAATTTCTAACAATAAGATATGTATATTTCTTCCTAATTATAAATTTAAAGCATTTAACAATCCTATTACTACACTGTTAACATTCAACAATAACATTTTATTTTTATTTTCACCTCCATCTGGATGTTTTTGGAAAAACTATTTGCTAAATAAAAAAACATTAATTTTTTTTTTAGCCCTCTGACGATCTTTAAATCTTTAAAAAATAAGTTAGCAAAACAAGGTATAAAAAAATCTCACCTAATCCATATAATACAGCATGAAGATTATAAAAACAACCAAATCAATTCACTAAACAAAACAAATAATTAATAGTTAAGTTTATTCCAACAGTATTCAAACTGCATGAATAAAATAATTACAGTATTCAGAATATTGCACAACAATTGGTATTATATTATAATTTGAAGATGTGTTCACCTGCTACTCTTTATTGTACTCTTTAGATTTACATTCTTGATTTTTGTTTTGTGCTGACTAAATTTCAGTTTAGTTTCACTTTCAGTTTTATTATTTGTTTGATTACAAATTTGTGATTATTCCAAATATCTTGAACTATTATTATTTGAATTTAGGTTAAATTGTGGTAAAACTTATTTTGGTTACAATTAACAATAGACATTTATATATAAATGACCATGTTTAAGTTATTCTGAATTAACTGTTAACACATTGTCTGCCAAGGTGAGCCACTTTTAGCCCCATGGTGGGGCTGATATGTTAAGCACCCTCCATCTGTGAAAGTCCCTCACTGGGCTCGCCCCCACTATTTAAAATTTCTGGATCTGCCACGGACTATGATTACAGGCTAGTTCACAAACCAGGTCATAACACATTTTAACAAACTCAGACTGATCCAATAAAAAATCCATAAAATTATGTAAATGTTTACTCTTGGCTGAAGTCAACCTTTATACATAATGCTTTCAAATTTTTCTACAAAGAAGGATGAGAGTATAAAACACCAGGCCAAGACCAGAAAAACCAGTCACCCTTGCAAATCATGTCTCAGAGATGAATGGCCAAAACATGTTGGAATGTCAAAATTTTTTAAATACTTTCAGTATTTATCATGAATTATGTTGTTATTTTCCTAATTTTTAACACTAAAAGCAGCATTTTTAATGATTTGGTGATGGTCCCTGCCTAAGAAATGTCTGAAATCATTTTAATGGTTGATTTCTCGAATACTGTTTAAAACAGCTGTATATTTAAACTCCTGTAGCTTCATAATGAAATGTCAAATTTAATTTTATTCTTTTTCTACCTTTTTATATCCAATTTTACTGCTCATAACCCTGTATTAATAACAATTTTTTTTTTTTTTTGGTTTTTTTTTGTGAAGAGTGACTGGTTTAGCTTGTCTGCCACAAATGGAAAGCAAAAGTAACATACAGTAGCTATAACATTTCCTTGCAAGATAAGAATATAAACAGAATGTCGACTTAAAAGGTAGCTAGTAACTCAAGTCCATAAGCAAGTACCAATAATTGTACTTTTGACTGCAAATACAGTATTGTTCATGTACAACACTCTGTAGGGCTCATGTTGGGTTTGTGCAGACTGTGCCTTTATACAGGATTACATTTTTTTAGCTCTCTGGTAGTTTCAAGTGTGCATGAGTATGTCAAAGGTCAAGACAAATAAACAAACATAACCTCTATACAATATTCTGCATTTTTATAAAGCTTTTACAGTATTAAGTTGTATACTGTATACTATATTCCAATCCTATACTAATATACTGATAACCTGTGCACTTTTAAACTACGAGGTGGATTATATTGCGCCATTTGCACTGTATCTGGGTTTGATTCATGTTTTATGTATTTAGTGCAATAACACATCAGATTGAGCTAAACTAATATTCTTGTTAATTATGAAAACTGATAAAATTTGTAGTAATTTGGATTTAGCTAAATTTGGAATATTGTAAAAATTTGATACAGACTTGTTAGTTATGAAATACTGTAATTAACACAGTGATTTTGAAAAAATTAAAATGGTTAAACTGATTTGACAAGGACTTCCAGCTAATACCGAATAAATCTATCCATCCAAAAGGCATCACTGTAAATAATTGTCATGTTATGTGTCAGGCAGGATAACCCCTGTATGCCAGTTTTGTCCTGAAGTGAACTCACTTTGTTTGCCACTTTTTCATAAAGAATCTAACAAAAATCCGAACTCCTCATGTTTCACTGTACGCTACCTGAGTGTGTAAACAACGATGACTTAAGTTCCTAAAAATATGCTTTGATTTATTCCCTCGCTTTTATTCTATCTAGGTGGTGTATATTAAAATAATATGCTGTAACAATACCAAAAAAGGGCAAGTAGATTAGTAGAGTCAGGGTTGGCTGGTTACTGTTTTCAAAGGAATACCTTATATTATCTATCTTTTAAACCAAGGCATTCGGGTGTATGAAGAAAAATACAGATGATCAAACATAAGCCTGAGTCATCGGATACAGGATATCACAGGGTTTATATTCTTTTTTTTTGTTAAATTGCAATGTAAGCTTTCATCACAAATAATGTACTCACATGATATCGTAATCATAAGTTTACATGCTATATATAATCCTAGTGTCACCAAGGCCAAATAAAATAAATGTTATGGTTTATTATCCGAGATTTGATATGGGCCCCGGCCATGCCAAACTTAGCATCAGTTACCAAAACAAGAAAATTGACTTTTTAATGTATTCATTCTCCACATTACAGTATGCTTCGCAAAATGATGGGTCATTTATTGGAATCGACTTTACTATTGCCAAAAGTTATGAGAGTATTATGGGTTCTCTGTACTAAAGTATACAATACTGCCACATTCATCTAATTACTCAGTATAGCATTTAGCGACATTACGCTGGTTTTGGGATCGTAAGCCTCCTATTATATTTTTGTCAAGTGTATATACTAATATTTGCTATTTTCTAATCCTGTACTTGTAAACAGGCTGGTAAATAATAAAAATTGATGTTTATAAAAAGAAGTAAAATAAATCTTTGTAATGTACTATTCTGCCATTTACAATTATCACGCACATCAGAAGAACTTAAAAGCTACTATGGGGAATGAAATGGTCCTGACCCACTTCAGATAATTTTATTCATATACAGTAAGCTCGAAAGCACTCTTGTTCAAGACTCTCATTCAAGTCTGTTATTAATTTTAACTTTTAAATTGTAGTTTATAAACAAAATTACTGGTAAAGTACCATTGATTTTGTTTGTGTTCTCGTCAGTTGATTATCAGATCATGTAAATCATTATATTGTATTTGCAGTGCTAACATCAGCGCTGGTTCCAGGCTCTTTGCCATGGTTCAGTTGGTAGAACAAAGTCTTCTCGGATAAGGACTTAAAATCGAGGTCCAGTGTACATATCTGGCTCATGTGCACTTTAAAGAACCCATTGCATCTTTTAAGAAGAGCAGGGGGGTTACTCCCCAATGCTATGGTTCATTTCAGCCCCTGTCATTGTGGAATGATGTGAATGTAGCCGGAAGCACCTATTTACAGCGGCTGAGGTAGTCACAGACCATGCCCATACGCAATTCAGCACAATGACGCTGCAAGTTATGGGTTATTCTCCTGCCTTTACCTTTACCTTTTATAGTCATGATGTGCCTATACAGTATATTGTCATGATGTTATTTAGTTATGTCACATGATAGGGGTAGGGCTTTAAATGGCACTTCATTGTTTGTTCATCGTCACAATACTATCTGGTATACTGTACTGTAATATAGAACAAACGTTACTCTTCTTTTTTTTTTCAGAGTAACATTCATTCTATGTTATTTAAACATAATCAGTCCATCTGTTGGTCTGTACTGTAACTTTATACATGTTGATGAGAATGATGTTAACAAGCTCTTCTCACAGGTGTCACTGTACTGGATTGCATAAATAATGAGCTCACTGGAATCATGTAGTTTAAAACATACTATAGCTCCAGAGCTGTATTTTTCTCAATCATAATCAATGGATTTAATTATATCAACTATTTTCTAGACTTCAGTTATAAATTATACACATGTGCAAACTAGGCTAATTAAGATCAATAAATGCTGGCCACCCTACCACACAATATTGAGGCTTAGTATGATGGCTCCTAACATTTCATTCTCCTACACAGCTATGACATGTTTGGAAAAATATAATAAATTTACTGCAGCCTACATCGATATTGATTTTAGTATATTTTATGTGAAATTATGAGACAGATGAAATGAATTGACTCACTCTCAAGGACCGAAAAAACATATACAAAATGCCATGAGTGTGTTTAGGCATGAAATGTATAAATTTATTATCAGGAAAATATAGAGATTTGAAAGACTTAGAATTTAAATGAATTGCTTTATGGTTTCTTTTTTCAGTTAGTGTGGTATGTTCCAGAGGAGAATTTCAGTGTGATAATGGAATTTGCATTCCACTCGCATGGAAGTGTGACCATAACAATGACTGCGGTGATGGCTCTGATGAAGGCAATTTCTGCGGTAAGGATTTACCTATTTATTTATTTTGTAATTTATTTTGAAGTTAAAATGTAATATTCAAGGATAAAAACACAGAAAATTACAAAAAACAAGATAATCTCACTGTGACCCCTAACCTAAATGAAACTGTAAACTTACAGAGTAATGAAATCGGGCAACCAAAAGGGGAAACTGTAACAGGGGCAAGGGTTGGTGTGGGCCCCATTTGCAAGGGCTAAGCGCAAGAGAAAGATTGCGCCGATGGCGCAAAAATTAGTTTTGAGGAGACCCTGTTAATCTGGAGGGGCTCATTTAGGGGATTTTGAAAAAAAATATGGAAAAAAAATGCTCCCTGCACCCCCTCCCCCACACTTCTCGGTGGCAATGGATGAAATTCTTTTGGATTTGTTGGACACACTGGGACATTTCTGGAGCCACCACTGATTAGGATTGTAGCAAAGAGTATAGAACTGCAACAGGTCAGACTCTGCGATATCTTGAAACTCAATCCTATCTCTACTGCCAAGAATTGAAGGGCATCATTCCAAAGAATGTAAAATGCATTCCATTGAACGTATACTGCACCGTCTATAGAATGCATGGTTGAGTTTCGCACTCTTCCAATTCTAATAAGGGTGCCCCTTATCTTGTGACGTAGTACTTAGTTTTTGTTCCATTGCATGCACGCAAAATAAGGCAGTCTATACTCTTGGATTGTAGTCTTCAAGGGTCTCACTTGATGTGTTGTACTGTATGGATCACCCTTGATCCCTTGATATATATGCTGTAAGAATATGTCATTTTCAATTACATCCGCTATGTTTTCAATTTCCGCCCTTAATTTTCTTCTTAGGTTATCGCATTTGCTACGCATCTGAGTTTACTTGTGGTAATGGACGTTGTATAGATCCAAACTTACGGTGCAATGGATATGATGATTGCAGAGATAATTCAGATGAAGTCAACTGTGGTAAGTTTAAACTATGGTCAATATTTTCAATATTTTTTTAGTAAATCTTTATTGTGCTATGCAATTACCAATAATTTTGATTTTTGTCCTTGAAATTATTTTAACTGGCCTGTCAAAGAATTTCTTCCTATATAATAAATTAAATAAATATATAATTTAGTAATTAAATTAGAGTGGATATGACACCTTGAATTTTTCATATTTTGTTCCTCCTTAGAGCCAAGCACCTGTGCATCAAGTGATTATGTTTGCTCAGATGGAGCATGTGTCTCTGAAGACAAACTTTGTAATATACTTTATGATTGTAGTGACAGAACAGATGAATACAATTGTGGTCAGTAGTCAGCATGTGTTCCTTATAGCAGTTAGTAATATAGTTAATGAAATTAAAATAATAAGAAAAATAAAGAAGATATATAATTTCATAGAGCTATAGATACAGTATTCATTTGTTTACTAAATTGCTAACTCTTTATACAGCGGTGGATTCTATGAGATTGTTGGAAATTTTGTACATACAAATACGATGTATTAAAATAAGAAAATATAGAATACAAATACATCCACTTCCCTTTGTTTGAAAAATTCTGGATCCAACCATGCTTAATAGCTTAATTGTTGCTGGTATTAATACTATTTAATTCTTTTTATTGCTTCTTTTAATGGAATTTATTTGTCTAAAATAAAAAATTATATAATTAAAAGATCATATATTTTTATTTTTTTACCTTTTTTTTTTTTTTTTTTTTTTTTACTTTTTTTTTTTTTTTTTTTTTTACTTCATAATTATTGATTGATGTTAATTTTATTGTTATGCTTAAGGAGAAGACTGTTATTTATACATATTTATAATTTCTTTTTTGAACCTTATTCTATTAGCTTTTGCAATTAATTTGCATACTATATTTTTAGTTATATTAATTTTACATAGTAATGTTTGTATTAATGTTTTTGTATTTTTTATTCTGATTTTAATTTGTAGTTATAAGACGTTTTCTGCAACTTGCATTGTTACATGTTGACAGTCCCAAGTGATCTACATCTGTTGGATACTTCATTCTCATTAAATATGGTTTAAATAAAAAAATAAAATAAGAAATTGATTTATCATAATTTAATATTTTAGTTATTAATATTTATCATCATAATAATTCCATAATAATTCCATATTTCTATTACGCATTCCGCAAAAAGCCTCAATGCACTTTACAAAAAGAAAAAACAAGTAGTAAATAATTTTGACTTAAACTACGGTACTTAAACTAAAACATTTCCGAAAAAGCATTTGCGCTATCGATATAAGTATCCAGAACATGGCTCCACCCTCCGATGTCAAAAACAACTTCGCTGTCACACCCGAGTGCATGCAGGCACTCCGTTAGGCATTATGCTGGGCTCCGGTAGCTTCCACCTCAGAATAAGCCCTCGGCTCTACTACCGTGCACTGCAAAAGACAACAACGTTGACTCGAGTAAGAAACAGGTGGGCCTAGCTCTGGACACCCCACAAACGATAGCACATGCATCATTGATAAAAAAAATTAAAAAAAAAACACTCCAGATGAAATAAGGGAAAACATATCATGCATATCAGCGTTGTTAAACAGAAAAGTTTTTAGTAGGGTTTTGAAAGACTCGATAGAAATAGCCGATTTGATGTACTGAGAAAGACCATTCCATAGTTTTGGGGCGGCATTTGCAAATGAACTAGAGCCATAACTCATCCTCATTTTCGGAAATTCGAGATCATGGTTAATATTGTCAACATTGTCATTAGGAAATCTTCTTTTTTTTTGCAGGTGTTAATGAGTGTTTACTATCTAGTAACATGTGTCAGCAAATTTGTGTTAATACGCCAAATTCTTTCAAATGTGATTGCGCTAGCGGCTACAAACTAAAGTCAGATGCTGTTAGTTGCGAAGGTTTGTACTTTTTAAGATATTTCTTAATGAAAACCTATCCTTTATTAAAATGTAATTGATTTTTAGTAGTATACACACAGGGTCGGCGTAAAACATTTTACAAAGTGGGGGCCCCACTCTTTCTTTTCTTGCGATTCTTTCCGATCATATGAAAATCTGCATAACATGTATTTTCTGCCGAAAAGTGGGAGGCCCAGTGCCCTGGTTCTGCCGGCCATGACACTTTACTGTACATCATGGCTTGAGGTGAAGTAGTGAATTATACTTCTTGAGGTGCTTATCTCAGAAGTAGAAGCGGTTTGGCGCAGCAGGAACGGTTTGGTTTCCCAACCTTGAGGTCGGTGTTTCAATCCCTTGCTGTGAATTTCGCTTGTGTCCTTGAGCAAGGCACTTTATCAACATTTCTTCTCTCCACCCGGGAGTATAAATGGGTACCTTGTGGGGTCGCCTGCTTCTTCGCTGATTACAGCAGCAACACTTAGCATGTATACCCGATGACCAGGGTCAAAAGCGCTTCGTATCTGCATAGAAAGGTGCTATATGAATAACTGAATCTGAGGCTTGAAAGAAAGCTGTGCAAGAATTTTAGTCCTGCTTTGAGAAGTAATTTAATTTATGCCTTTAAATAAATTTGTTATTTTGGCACATTAAATATGCTCAAGACCAGCCCAGCTAATGTTCCTCTTGTGCTTGTTTTTGCTCAATAAAAACTTAGTACAGGTCATTTTACCAAGAGTAAAGTTAGGCAGGCCATTCACACTAATTTTTTTTTTTTTTTTTTTTTTTTTCAAACTTAATACCGGTTACTTAGATTTTTGTTTTAATCCAAAGGAGTTTTGTCCAGATTATAAATGAATTACTTTAGGATTTGAAGGGCTGTAAATGCAACATGTACTACAAAAAATAAGGTTTACCATGCCAAAACCAACATCAGTGGCCAGAACTTTTTAATATATTCGTATTTTCCACACTATAATCCCGATGACCAGGGTCAAAAGCGCTTCGTATCTGCATAGAAAGGTGCTATATGAATAACTGAATCTCAGGCTTGAAAGAAAGCTGTGCAAGAATTTTAGTCCTGCTTTGAGAAGTAATTTAATTTATGCCTTTAAATAAATTTATTTTGGCACATTAAATATGCTCAAGACCAGCCCAGCTAATGTTCCTCTTGTGCTTGTTTTTGCTCAATAAAAACTTAGTACAGGTCATTTTACCAAGAGTAAAGTTAGGCAGGCCATTTTTTTTTTTTTTTTTTTTTTTTTCTTTTTTGTCAAACTTAATACCGGTTACTTAGATTTTTGTTTTAATCCAAAGGAGTTTTGTCCAGATTATAAATGAATTACTTTAGGATTTGAAGGGCTGTAAATGCAACATGTACTACAAAAAATAAGGTTTACCATGCCAAAACCAACATCAGTGGCCAGAACTTTTTAATATATTCGTATTTTCCACACTATAATCTTTAAAATGGTAAGTCATTTACTAGAATTGATTTACTGTTTTTACAAATTTATGAGTAAAAGTATTATGGCTTCTTTATTCTAAAGTATAAAATACTGGGGCATTGCTAAGTACTCAGTTTAACAATTAGCAACAGTATGCTGGTTTTGGAACAGCAAGCTGCAAATAAATTATTTTGTATTACAACAAAACATTTTTCTGATTTTTCAGATATAAATGAATGTTTGGAGGAACCGTGGGTGTGTAGTCAGACGTGTATTAATTTAGTTGGATCACATTCATGTGGGTGTGTTGCTGGTTATAATTTAATGACTGCTGGAAGCTGTATACATATTGATGGTAAAGTATATTATGTTAAAACAAAGCTAGCTAAGATTTTGTTTGTTCATATTTTTATTTACACAACAATAAATCATAAAATATATCATCGCTTGCATCACGTACTAACACAATAAAGTAAATGGGGTTAGTTTGTGTGGTGAAAACATAAGAGTGCGTTGAAATACTGTAAGCACATATTGGTTGTGTCATGCAATATTTTATTCTTTACCACGACGACAACAGATGAATTTTATGATTCAACAGTATAAGAGATTAACAAGTAAAATTAATGCAATTAGAATTATTATGACAGAGTTGAAAAAAATGTGTTTATGTTGTAGATACGGAGCCCTACCTAATATTTAGTAATCGATACTATGTTCGCCAACTTGGCCTTGATGGGGATGACTACAAACTCCTGTCCGATGAATTCTATCTTGTTGCCGCAACTGACTTTGATATAGTTCGTGGTGAGATGTACAGTATAGACTACATAGCACAGCAAATCATACGTTCAAAGCTAGATGGATCTGCACGGCTGACAGTCGTCACACACGATATTCAGGAGGGGGAAGGCATTGCTGTTGATTGGGTTGGCAGGTAGGCCTAAGTTTGTTTTTGTTATTGAATGTTGATAGAAATATTATTGGAAAAATACAATAAATTATGATAAATTCGTCGCTCACATCACGAACTAACACAATCGAAGTAGATTGTGTTAGTTCGTGAAATCACAGTAGCGCGTCAAAACCAGGGCGTATTGGTTGTCAAGCAATTTTGTATTCTTTACCACACAAAAAGTCCTTAACGACAACAGCGCGTATTTTGACGCGCTTTTTTGATTTCACGAACTAACACAATTGAATTTAATTGTGTTAGTTTGTGATGTGAGCGAAGAATTATATAAAGATTTTATTTTTTTTTTTTCAATTTTTAACGTGAATTAACGGGAGTATCATTTGTCAATAAAATAAGTTTTAAATTCAGTATTAAGTATTGATGATATAATAATATTCCTGATGATGACATAATTAATGTCGAAATATTGAATCCCAACACGATGGCGTGTATTTCAATACTTGGAGTATGTATTATACTTTCTTATATAATTTTTGACATTTTGACGTGCTACTGTGATTTCACGAATTAACACAATCTACTTCGATAATAATATATTATAATATTTTCTCCAAGTTTACCAAATACAGTTGAACTAATTAAAATCCAAAATGGTATTAAAAATTTGTTCAACTTCGATAGAATTTGACTTACAGATCGTTAATTAATGGAAAACACAACAATATGGCATGTAAAATAAGATTGAGGTAGGCAAAGTCGACTAAGGTAAGCTTAACTGTATTACAAAAATGAAAGAGAAGGGGCTCAGAACAAAGGAGTTCTTATACCTAAAGGTTTTGTCTGCCCATACAAAGCAATGTTTTTAAATACTATTATTATTTTCTAGTATCAACCACTTTTAACCCATATGAACTTCTGTTTTTTCACAGGAAGCTGTATTGGACTGACCGTGGCTTAGATATGATAGAGGTTGCCAATCTAGACGGGACATCCAGAAAAACACTTATACGAGATAACCTGTTTGATCCTAGAGCAATAATTGTTGATCCAAGGGATGGGTGAGTATGTCCCAGAAAGCAATAAAACAATCAGAGTTATTTAGATTTTATTTATACTGATACAGATAGCCTGATTTTTTTAGACAATTTTTAGACAACTCTTCCCCTACAGTATCCTAGCTGCCACAATGTAGGCGATTCATGCCTTTTGTATGAATCAAGGATAATATTAATCTCATACAATATAATGAATGTTTTACTGTAGGCACGAATGATGATAATGATAATAACGTATTTGTTATCATTTTCGTAAGATTTCAAAACCTTCTAATAATAAATAATAATGATAATGATGATAATAAGGAGTAGGAGTAATATTAATAGTATTAGCCGCAAGCACTTAATAAACACATGGAAATGTACAAAAACTTGCACATCTTTAAACTCCTCAACTGCTCCCCAAATGCATGGAATTATGCAATGAAAGATGTTTCTATAGCCTGTGTGCCGCTGTAACCACTAAAATCAAGGATGCATTACTCACACAATGTGAGCCCACAAACAAACGTTTACATGTTAATTTAACCTTGTCATTCCATTTTATTTGTTCATCGTTATTCATGTCATTCATTTTAACGGTTCAGTTCATCCTTACTTACAAAGGCCTCAAAATTGTTTTTTTACAGTTAAATTTCTCGGTGCTTATAATTTAATGTATTGCACTTTACTGACTGATTTTGAGTAGTTTATTTATGCTGAAGATGGCAGTGGTAATGCGATAACATTTTTATTAATATATTTCCCCCTCGCCCTTGTGCCCCATTGGATCCTCTCCTGTATCCAATCCAATCGAAGTGTGTTTTCATAAAGATGTTGAGCACCTTGTTTAACTGTTTTGTGTGTGTGTTGCCTATATTGCTTTGTATGTAATTGTATATTTTCATTTGATCACAGATGCTCAGTTTCTTGATGCACTGGGTTTGATGTGAGTGGTATATGTTTTTTTGAAATACATACAACATGAATGTCAGTGTGTAATTTGTATTTGGAAAGAATGACCAAAATATCATAATATGTTTAATATAATTACCTAACAGCTACCTGTACTGGTCTGATTGGGGATTAAGACCATACATCGGAAGAGCGGGTATGGATGGATCAAATCCAATAGAGTTTCATGACGATCTGGTTGGCTGGCCAAATGGGCTGACAATCTGTTTTGCAACCAATAAGCTCTACTGGGTTGATGCTCACCTTGACCATATAGTGTAAGTATTGTTACATTACATATCAATTGATTGTAAGACAATAGTAATATTAATATTACTACAAACCACTCAATTAATTTGTTAGGCCTATTAATATACTCCTTTCATCTGTATACCGTGTGTTGAACAAGTGGAATAAATTGAATTGAAATTGAATTTTTTCAATTTGAGTCATTCTGTAGTTATTGCTTATTGTACATTGCAGGTAGATAGTAACCAAAAATGATATAATAAATATTAATAATGATAATGATGATAATAATATTGTAATAGTGTAGTACAGTAAGAGTAGTAGTAATAGGAATAATCATTCAGATTTAGGGGGCCCCAGTCAGAAGTCAGGAACCAGGATTAGCCCCAACATGGGTGCCTCGAGCCTCCATCCGTAACATTGCCTTTCTGGGGGGCCCCTTCCCTCGTTCCAATTCTTGCACATGTTACTGATAATAGTAACAGTACGTACTACTGGCTTAAGAAATACTAACTCATAAGATTATAATTTTAATAATAATATTGTCGATTTTGAATTCAAAACATAGCTATTCAAATTTGGATGGAACTGGTATTACACTACTTCTGGACGAGGGCGTGGGTCATCCGTTTGCTGTCACTGTTTTTGAAGATTACGTTTATTGGACTGACTGGAATGTTAAGACTATTAACAGGGCAAACAAACTGAATGGAAGACATGCCGAAATCCTAAAAACTACGATTCACCGGCCATTTGATATACATGTAGTTCACCCTCTGCGACAAGATACAAGTAAGTAGCACAGATGTATGGCTGAGGTTTGTCATTTGGCTTAATGTGGGATTGGCAACATTATGTAGCCTATGTGGAGTCTGGCTAATAGGGAAGTTAGCGCAGTGGTAAGGACTGACATTGGTGCGAGAGGGAAACCTGTCAGTGTTATTCTTGCTTGAATAATACACTACTTTGTCCTCCGGATTTAACCTAAATCCATTGATCCAATGTACATAATAGCACTTGCCCTTAAAAAAGTATGCAGGCACCATTCAAAGTGAGTCATAGTAGGTGCAACTGCAGCCTTCAGTGGTTTCTAAGGACCTAATCCATATTTCCTTGTTTATTTCATTGAAGATAGAATTTACATTTTTACGTGTGAGATTTTAGCCAGATATATTTACTGAATTTATTGAAATTTTTCTCTATGAAATTTGAATCTATCTGGTACCCATTTACTCCTCTCTATGACTTTGATAGGAAACTCAAAAAAATAATTTAAATATTTTGGGTTTTATTTTTCAGCTATCAATAACCCATGTGGTGCCAATAACGGCGGGTGTAGTCACCTATGTCTTCTTGTTCCATCGACCATCGAAGGACATACAACCTTTTCGTGCGCATGTCCAAATAACTTTGAGTTGAGGCCTGATAGAAAAACCTGTGAGGCACAGTGCACTAATCAGCAGTTTAAATGCACTGACAATGACAAATGTATACCTTCATACTGGATGTGCGACGGTGAGCTTGACTGTCACGACGGCTCAGATGAACCTGATACATGTGGTGAGTATTTCTTTAAAATGCTTGAGGCTGGCCATCCTAAAAACCAGCGTTCTGTCACTGATTGTTAAACTGAGTAATTACAGTAGCATAAGAATGTGGCAGTAATGTATACTTTAGTACATAGAAAATCTGTAATACTTTTATGCATAACTTTGGCATATAGTAAGTTGATTCCAGTAGATGATCTATCATTTTAAAGATTATTGTGTGGAGAATGTGATTATATTGAAAAAGTAAATATTCAAGTTTTCTCTGATGCTGGTTTTGGCATGACAAGCCTCACTTTTACTTGACTGTAAGTTTAACTGATGCCTTGGAATAGAGAAGTCAGAGCTTAAATGCAAAAACTAATTAAGGAATATTTATAAAATTTAGTTGAGCAGTACAGATAAAGAATAGGTGAATAGTCTTTGGGTTTAAAAGTGGCAAGATACGCACTTGAACAAGTGCACACTCTAGTGTTATTATATATATGAGCTATCATTTGTAGAAGTGCTTTTGATTTTCTTGGTTTTCTATTTTTAGCCCATAGGTCATGCACTCCAGGTCAGTTTCAATGTGATAATGGAGCATGCATTGTAGCCAACTTTTTATGTGATGATGAAGATGATTGCGGTGATCATTCAGACGAGGATCATTGTGGTAATTAAAATATTATTACTGATTATTATTTTGTTCTATATTATTATTATTATTATTATTATTATTATTAATCATCATTATTATTTCCAGTATAATATTTAAATCATCACACATTGTCATCTTTGCTTTAGTTAGTCATTAGCATCATCATCATCATCTTCATTATGATCATCTCATTGTCATCATCACCATCATTATCATTACTGACACAACTGGCTCAGGTGCACTTTAAAGAACTCAGCACATCCTTCGAGAAACATACAGAGATACTCTGGTGTTCCTGTTCATCCGGCCCCTGTCGTGGACAGACGAAAGTTCACCTATGACAGGTGATGGCACATTATAAGTTACCCTTTGGGGAGAAGGAATATTTTGAGTGAGTTGGTCCATGCCTGTGAACAATTTAGCCCAGTAAACTACAAGTCACTGGTTATTTCAAGCCTTGCTTATCATCATCATCGTCATCATCATCATCATCATTGTCATGATCATGATCATCATTATCATTACCACCATCAATGTTATCAGCTTTTTCACCTTCATCATTAGCATCATCATTGTCATTACCGTCACTATTTTTAGCACTATCATCCTCATCTTTATCATCATCATCATTAGTATCACCATGAATAATCATGATCAAATAACTTCATTTAGTTTCAAGTGTTAATTCTTTATTTAACCAATAATAATGATAATAATAATAATAATAATACAGTAATTCTTATAATAATAATAATAATAATAATAATCCTTTACTATTTATTTACAATTTCTAATGAAAATAATACCAATAATGGTGTTGATTTTACAAATATTAGTATTGTAATTAGATTCTATCAATGATGTCAATCTAATCTAATCTAATCTGTTCACACTATCAACTTTTATGTGACAAATTTGTGTGATGAGCCCATATATGGGCATTGATGGCATATTACACCCAAATATGGGCATATCACATTTAAATCAATCTAAAACCTACAGTAGGATAATGTGTACTTGATTGCAGACACCAGTGAGTGTAATCCTTGGGAATTCCGCTGTAACAACGGACAATGTATCAACCAGCAAGAGGTCTGCCAGCAAAGAAAACATTGTGCTGATGGTTCTGATGAACACGCGGTGACATGCAGTAAGTTGAGAATTACTTAAATTACAAAGAGGTGGTCTTTATGTGAATATTAAGTATACAGTAATTAAAATTATAATTGTACACATCATTTGCATAAAATATATATGTATCTTATTGAATTTCGTATGACCATTCTTGGTTTATTTATATTGCTGTGTAACAACATTCAGAAACACATAAATATCTGGGACAACATGTATTTTTTGAGACATGCGCATATTCCTGATCCTGTTTTGATTGAACAGTTAAGGTTAACACTCAGGAAATGTCCATTTGATTGTACATGCTATGTTCACTCTTCAACTCTATAATATATAATTATTTTTACAATGATACTCAATATCCTTTTTAACATTGAATATTTTAACATATTGTATATATTTCATATTTTACCTAATATATACTGTACTGTAAAACCTCGAATTGATGCCCATTTGAATTGAAGCCCGATCTTTAGCAAAATTAGCCTCGAAAAGAAGCCCATGGGCTTCTTTTCAAGATAGCATAGGCTCCTTTTCAAGATAGTAGAGTACATACACTGTACATGAATTTTAAAAAACAAAATTAATTAAAAACAAGCTTGGTTTATACAGTAGGTTCAGTGTTTTATTACCCGTTAAATACATTCTCATGATACAGATTGATGTTACAGATGCCTTATTTATTGTTTTATAGTACAAATTAAAAAAATTTACAGCATTCATTTTGAAAAGAAGCCTCTTTCTTTACAAAAGTAGCCTCAAAAGGAAGCCCACCTTAAAAACAAGACCATTCAAAGGTAAAAAAAAGAAGCCCGGGGGTTCAATTGGAGGTTTTATGATAAGTCAATATTTTAAATTGTACAAACAAAAAAATGTTTATTTTAATGTACATTTGTATTTTTAGCTCCGATGAGGAGCTCTAGGAATACCCGGCTGTTTGATTAATAGATCTTTTGTGGGATCTTTTTTGTATGGACGGCCGTTACGGCCAATATACTCTACTGCCTCTATTATACTGCCTTCATCGGAGCTTTTGAGATTACGAAACCTTGTTTTATGGACAAATCAATGAATCTTGAATCTTGTATACTCTGAATATTTCTTCATTTTCCTTCAACAGATAACAGAAACTGTTCTCTTGGGTACTTCCAATGTGACAATGGATACTGCATCCCAGATTCCTGGTACTGCGATCTTGACAATGATTGTGGTGATAGCAGTGATGAGCCTCATCACATATGCCGTATGTTTCACCAAAGAGTAGTATAGAAAGATAAGAAAGCACAGTGCTGTGTGAAAATACATCATGCCCTTAGTTACGCCATGGACCCTCTGGACCTTCCTACTGGATAGAAGCGTTTGCAATAAGTATCCGGAGGACAAACTAAAGAAACAAACAAACTGATGCTAGCGGGTATATTCCCATAGCTGTAATGACTGCATTCAAACTGTGTGTTGATGGCTTATCGTTCGCTTGTGCACATAATGGACAGACTGTGCTTTCTTGCCTTTCAATACTCTTTGTTTTCAACTTTTACTAATAGTTTTAAATCTAAGAGCAATTTAATAACTCAATGTTTGGCATTGAATTAGTTATAGAAGACTTTATTAGACCTTGTTGGGCTGTAACCCCTGAAAATTAGTGTATTTAGAAAATATTTACTGCAAAAAAATGATAGAAACACTTAGGTTTTTATCATTTTTTTATAATTAGGTGAGACTTTTTTATTCCTTGTTTCTCGATCTCTTTTCTTAAAGATCGTCAGAGGAGGGTGCAAAAAAATAAAATATATTTATATTTAGCAAATAGTTAGACGGAGGAGAAAATAAAAATAAAATTTTATTGATGAATATAAACAGTGTAAAAATGCTTATAATTAGGAAGAAATATACGTTTCTAATTTTTGGAGATTTCAAGGCAGCATCAGGCATAATACAAATAAAGAAAAACTTATCTTATTTTTTTCTGACATTTCCATTTTTTGTGGTAATGGGTACGCTAATTAGCCAAAAATGAAAGTGTAATTTTACTTAAAATCATCATTATTATAATCATGGTACACATTTTTTTAATTCAGTGATTTCTATGCTCAAGTCAATAGCTTATATGTTATTGCAATATTTTATGATTGTTTGTCATTTTCCAGACATTAAATCTTAAAATTACCATTTGTGTCCTTACAGAGAGTGGGACTTGTCCTACTGGTTGGTTTTCATGTGTCAATAACTATCGTTGTATTCCTGAATATGCCGTGTGTGATGGTATTGACCATTGCCGTAGTGGTGGTTCTGATGAATGGTTCTCCATGTGCAGTAAGCTCATATTATTAATATTATGATATTATTCTATGACGTTTTTTAATGATGGTGCACCATTTTATAATTATTGTTATTATTATTAGGTGCGACAGCATATCTCCTATTGTTTTTCTTAAGATTTTTATATATTTTTTTTTTTATTCTTTTCCATATTTTTTTTTTTTATTCTTTTCCTCCTTTTTTTTGTTTGCGGCTTTTCTCAACGACAAAGGCTATTTGGCTAGCATTTAATATACATCTGAAGTGTTTTGCATGTGAAGTGTTTTGGGTGACGTCACAGTCATGTGACATCATCTACGTGCCATTTTGTGAAATTTTAGGATTGATCATAAATTCCTAACCAATGGGCAATATTCCATGAATCTTGACACAAGCATACTTCCTATCAACAGTAACCTTTCTGTTTTCATCACCGTTTTCCTGTGCATCATGGCGTGCGCAAACGTGACTGTTAAAATTTGAAAATTTTCCTGTGCGTCATGGTGTGCGCAAATGTGACTGTTAAAATTTGAAAATGCTCAAAATAATTTTTGACTTGAAGATCACTTTTGGACCAATTTAAAGCATGTTTCAGGCCATTTTGAGAATTTCAAAATTTTCTCGGTGTGGAAAACTATTGGACCCTATGTATCAACTAAAAGTCTAGTTATTAATTTATTTTTATTATTATTAATTTATTATTGTTATTAATAATACAGTTCATGTTTTATGCCTACTGTTTCTACCAAATATATATATATTTTTTTTTTTATGTATAAAAAGAGCAGCAGGTATCAAATATTGTATATCAAATTTTAAAATTTACTAAATGTTGGTTGATCACATGATATACATGATATACAATATTGACTGCCACCTTTTTTTTTTTTAAATGAAAACTTTTTGTTTTCTGTAGGGGCTCGAACTTGCAGTCCAGATGAGTTCCGTTGCAGTAATAACAAATGTATTCCTTTACGATGGCAGTGTGATTATGATGATGATTGTGGTGATAATACAGATGAAGTTAACTGCAGTAAGTTATAGGATTTTGACAAGTCCAAAAAAAATGTAGGCCTACTATATATAAACTGATGTTCTTTTGATATGATAATAATTCTGGTATTATAGGTGTTCATCTGATATATATCAAAGATGGCATCAAAGTATAAAATTTGTTTATCTGGTAATCGCAGGTGTTCATCTGATATTACTGGTTTTCATCAGTTGTTACAAGTGTTCATCTGGTACTGCAGATGTTCTTCTGGTATTACAGATAAACACCTGTACTAGCAGGTGTTCATCTGGTATTGCAGGTGTTCATCAGGTATTACAGATAAATGTATTATATTATAGATAAACACCTGTACTACCAGGCATTTATCTATGACAGGTGTTCATCTAGTATAAGTGTGTTTATCTGGTATTACAGGGGTTTATCTAGTATCACTGGGGTTCATCTTGTGATTTTCATCTGGTAATAGTTATACCTGATATTTCAGACTATAGAGCCTGCAGTGAAAGTGAGCATGAATGTTCGACTGGTTTTTGCATTCCTTGGTATCAAATTTGTAATTACGAAGAGGATTGTGCAGATGGATCTGATGAAGAAAAGTGCAGTAAGAATTTCTTATATTTTTTTTTTTTATTTAGTTCAATATACATTTCAAACTTTACATATTTAAGTGAAATGAGTTGCTTGCGGGCTGAAATTGCTTTATGGTATTAATGAAATGATTGCTAATGAGTTAATAGAATATTAGTATAAAATGGTTTAGCGTACTGTAGCTTTCGCTGCCTTCTCAAGAGCTTCATTTAGCGGACTCTATGTAACTGAATAACCTTTAAATACAGTCATGTTACTTCTCCAATTGGAATAGTCATATTCACACCAGATCACCGTAGATGGCTGGGAAATCAGAGAAGTTAATAAAGAAGTTAATAACTAAGATAAGGATGAATGTTATACTGATATAAAAATAATTCAATATTTATATAGCACCTCCCAATATGATGATGACAATTAGTGATGATAGTGGTAATAGGTGAATGTGAAAGATGGTGATAAAGAAACTTTTGTTTTATTTGAACATTAACAAATAAACTATTAAAATAGATTATGATGATTCTATTTATAAAGCATGTTTTTAACTTTCACAAATTGTGCTCATGATATGCTTCTCAAAGTGTGCTCGTGATATGCTTGGTTATTTTCAATTCCAAAGGTGAAAGAGATTGTGGGTTCAATTTCCACCAATGTGCGTCGGGACACTGCATCCCAGATGCATATGTTTGTGATCGTTATCCCGATTGTTTCGGTGGCGATGATGAAGCAAGTTGCAGTAAGTAAATATATTTATTATCGTATATGTCAGATTATCAAATTTCTTTTCAAAAAAAAACCCAAATCTCTTATGTTTGTGCCTGTTGCAAAATTATACATGCAGCATAATTATTTTGTATTCAGTGTCGAAAATTTCATATTTTTTCTTTATTATGGATAGTATTTTACACATTACAAGTTATTTTAGTCTATTTCGTCAATATTTCCTGGATAAAATGACTAATTGCCATTGTTCCCTTAAGAACATGCCTATGACAAAAATAGAACCGACCGATTGTCCCAGCATGTGTCAACGAGTGTTATTTCACATATTGCATGTTCTTATATTTCTAGATAGCACACAATGCAATGAGGGTGAATTTAGTTGTAGCAATGATGTCTGTGTTCCTGTAAGGTATGTTTGTGATGGAGATAATGACTGTGGTGATAATAGTGATGAACAACAAAACTGTGGTAAGTGACAGTGGCATATCTACCAGGATGCTATGGTGCGCAAAGCCCCCCACCCTCGAAAAAAAGCTTGCACACCAGTTTTCTCCCCTACCCCGCCCACTGGAAATTTTCAAAGCATAGTGTGTAATATAGTACAATCCATTCACACAGCGCATGACAACAATTACCATACAGGCAACTGCACTGTGTGTAAATAGGCCTTAATACATGGATCAAAGGTTGAATTCATGTCAATAGAAAAAATGTGATATCACTCAATCTCTGAATGACAAGATGTATGCCAATTTCCTTTCAAACAGAATTCATTTTTAAAAGTTCTAAAGTTTTATTCACCCCATTTCTGAGACCAGTCTTTATCTTCCTGTTATTTGAGGGTTGCCATCCCAAAACAGGCATGAGTGACCCAAAAATGAAAATTGAATTTTTAATATACAGTAAAATCATTATTTAGGGGACCAAGAAAGTGTCCCTTTAGTAGCGGTTTTTGGCATATTGTCGTATAATGATTCTTCTGTTATTTTAAACCTAAGAATAAGTTACCGTTGAATAATAGCAATAATTTGCAATGCAAAGAGTAATTCATTTAAGATATGAAATTAACAGATATGTACAGTAATTAAAACTACAAAAGTTGTATATGTTCCTAATATTGTTTCATGATTCGAGTGCAAGGTTAATCACCAAAATATTCTTTTTTTAAATATTGAGCTTTCTATTGAATGTGCTAAAGATAGAATCATGAGTAACAGGGTACAGGCTATACAGTATAAATTAGAATCTTATATGAAAATACACAACAAGAAATCTCCATGGTTATTTATTCAAAATTTATAAGATTGTATTTATACGAAGTAACACATCACTATTCATATACCAATATATGTGTCTTCTGAATAGTCTCAATGGAAGATTTCTTCTGTATTCTTATTATTCTCCACATAATAAGCTTTAAACTGATGGGTCATTTTACTTGAATCAACTTATTATTGCCAAAGCTCTGAGTGAAAGTATTATGGCTTCTCTATACTTAATTATATGCTGCCACATTCTTTATGCTAAATACTCAGTTAACAGTTTTGGTGACAGTACGCTGGTTTTTAGAATGGCAAGCCTCATTTTTGCTTGAATAATTTTTTTTTTTTAGTATCAATCTTCTTTTGGAGTTGAATGGTTTAGTGGTTAAGATGCTTGCCTTCTAATCCCAGGTCCTGGTTCAATTCTTGTCACAGCAGGACTTTTTCTGGTGACTAAAATCAACTCTAATTCCTAGGCCTCAAAAGAGATTTGATTTATGAAGCATCATTCCATCCTGTAATTGGCAAGTGTACTTGCTGTTGGATGTGAAGGAAATAAACAAAATAAATATTGTTATGATTCTTTTATCAAAGAATTTATGGGTTTTTGTTTTTTTTTACATTGGAATTATTCAGCTGAATGCCCTGCAGATAAATTTACATGCTTATCGACCGGTTCTTGCATACATAGTATCTTGAAATGCAATGGTTTTGAGGATTGCGACGATGGTTCTGATGAAACGGACACATCTTGTAAGTCAACATTTTTTTTAGAGGAACTTCATTTGGGGAAAATATATGTGTTATTATGATTTTTGATAATTACTATTATACAAATTTCATTGGTTATCAAGCATGTTGATGTTATAGCAAACGTATCTTCATTGGATTTTAGGCAATTTGATGAGTTAAATTGCAGTCTTGCACAATCATGAAGGTAGCACAGAGCGTCTCACAAGTTCTACTAGTTGGTTAAATTCTGTTGTTCTTAACTTTTTCTTAACTTTCAAGATGCACTGAGACAGTGGTATAATGTACAGTTACAGGTTTTATTGTTGCATTAAGCCAAGTACTCACTGCGCCCGGCAGCCAACGCGTGCGGAACGGATCGTTTTTATTGATCCGCAAATAATGTCGTGTCCTCTAAGGCTCACTGAGAGCAGAGTTGGATTCGAAGGTCATACGGTCGTTTTATGATGGCAGTAATGCCCAGCTTCAAGCTACGTTTACATTAGACACGATAACAACACTATAAAAAAGTGCTCAGTGTTGAAGAATATAAATAACGCGATGATATGTCGTGTCATTATCGTGTCTAGTGTAAATGGAGCTTAAATCCGGCAGCTAGTAATTATGCCTGGAATTAATTTGAAACACTAAATAGAAAAATTACTTATTTATGTTAACTTTGATCTTCTTCAGGCATTCCTCACCCAAAGGTTTGCGAACCAGACGAGTTTAAGTGCGAGAACTCTCGGTGTGTGCCAGTAATTGATGTTTGCAACACGTTTGATAATTGTGGTGATAACTCAGATGAACATGGTTGCCGTAAGTTTAAAATTGCAGTTGACAAATTATTAGCAATTGTCATAATGTATTGTTTACATGTCTGTCTCTTCCAAGTTCCATAGTTGCTGTAATTATTATTTGTTATTGTTTATTATTTTATTGTTGTTGTCATTATATGTTGTTTTTCTTTTTTATTCAGACAAAAACACTGGTGGAGTAAATGAATGCGAGCCTGGTGGAATTGCTAATTGTGAAAGAGTTTGCACCGATTTAGAAGATGGATTTGCATGTTCGTGTGGAGAGGGATACAGACTAAGTGATGTGGATAAGTTCAGCTGTATAGGTTAGTATTCCATTTAATTTTATAGGCAGCTAGTCAGATAGGCAAGTTTTCACATATGCAAAGTGATAGACAGATGGGCAAGAGAGAAAATGCAGAAAGAAGTAGACAGGAGGGTAACCAGACAGATAGACAGGCAATTTGCTGGACATATACACAGACAGGCTAGTAGTCGGACAGACAGGCTGGTATGCTGGTAACCCAGTATTATTCAGGCATGTAGTGTTGCTAGGCAGGCAAATAGGTTGCCTGGCACAGCTACTGTAGGCAAGAATTAGTCAGACAATAATTTGTAGTACATTGTGTACTATATAGTGCATCAGGCTGACAAGTGCAGAATTATACATTTGTCGCATGGGCAGTCAGAGACAGATCCAGAGATGTCCAAAAAGTGGGGGCGGGGGTGACCGAAATTGGGGCCGATCAAGAAAACACTACCCTAGGGGGTCTGGGGGGCATTCCCCACAAAAAAATTTTCTAAACGCCTGAAAATAACCTCCGAGGAAATTTGGGGAATCTTTTTTTTTTCTTTCTTTCCACTAAAATTATCTCACCATAGCTGGATATGAACGGGGCCGGCTGTGCTGATTTCTTATTTGATTTTTAATTAGATTACAATGAGTGTGATGACAACCCATGCCATCAGGTGTGTGTGAATACCAAAGGTAACTACAGCTGCCAATGTGCTGTAGGCTACGTTGATGCAAGCAGTGACGGCACAAATTGTAAACCAGAAAGTAAGTTAAAAATGTATTTAATATGTGTTTTATTAGGTTTTAAAGCTACATTTATTTTGTGTTAAAATGTAAAGTACATAGACTTTAAGCATATGTATTGTTACTGCTCAACACATTTAAAAGGAGCAAAGCAAGGAATGGTGGTGGCACAGGTAACTTCTATACTATAGATCTTCAGGTGATGAACTACAGCTTTCTTGAACTTTTCTTATCATGTACTATGCTATATCGAGTTGAAATTTCTAATTATTATTATTGTTGTTATTCTTGTTAATATTATTATTTTGCTAATTATATAGCTATTATTTTTGTCATGGTTATTCAATGCTATTTTGAGAATTTCATTTGCAACATATCATTTGTTTATTATTATTGTTGTTTTTGTTGCTATTATTTATTTAATTATCAATAAATGCTTACTGTAATACATTTATTTATATGAAATATCTTTATATTTCCTTTTACGTTTTTTTCTCATATATATTTTCAGCTGGAGATGAGTATCTTATATTCACCGATGGACCTTACATTAATCTCTATCACTTCAACACTCGACAAATTGAGGAATTTTCTTCAGACCAAGGAAGAATAGAAGATTTGGATTATGATGCAACAACTAGTAAGTTATGACATAACAACAGAAGTAGGGTGAGGTGTTGTGGCAATGAAACAAGTTCTCGTAATCTCAGAAGCTTGATGAGCGCAGTATAATAGAGCCAGTAGAGCATATTGGCCCTAACGGCCGCCCATACAAAAAAAACTCTATTAATCAATCAGCCAAGTGTTTCTAGAGTTCCTCATCAGGGCTAAAAATGGAGCATGATGTTTTAGTTGGGTATGGGAGCAATAATGATCATAAATGAAGAGAGCAGATTAGCTCAGTCGGCCAAACTGGTGGTAGCCACTGTGTGTGCGCTGAACCGTTGAGATCTCTTGGTGCCCTGTTCAATTCCCATCGCTGCTTTCCTTGTGTTTCAGCTGGACTGCTGAAATGCAAGTTTTTTTATTTTATTTTATTTTTTTTATTTATTCATTCTGAAGTAATTATAAGTAAAATACATTCAAGGATAAAAACACAGAAAAGTACAGAAAAGCAACTTATTTCCACTGTGGTCCCCTAATGAGTTACAAAAGCTGTTGGTCCTGTGGTGCATTTATGGCCATTGTACACGTTCAAGAACACAGTACACTCTTAGAAAAAGCGACGGGATTGTCTCCGGGTGTACTGCCCAGTCACCACCAGAAGGACCCCGCTGGAATTAAGTCTTTTTTAGATTTTTGTGGGTTATCCTTGGTGTTTACACCAAATAAACCCAATCCAATCCACGATGGGACAGTCATAAAAGGAATAGGGAAAGCAATGCTTGTTACGAGTAGTACGGGGCAACTTGATTTTGCCAAGAGCTTTCACCATTATTATTTACATCATTTTCTTTCAGCCACATAATTGGTAATCTATCTTTTAAAAAAATTAACATACATTTTCCTTTGCTGTCCAGGTGAGCTGTACTGGATTAATTCTCAAAGCTCTGAAATCATGCGATCTAACTTAGCAGGTACCAATCGGGGTCAGCTTCAAGAGATCAGAGATCAATTGATCCGGCCTAGAGGAATAGCATGCGATTGGGTTGCTGGGTTAGTACACTGTAGTATACTTGTCTATTTTTTGAGAATTTGTATATTGTGAAATACCGTAGTTTTTTCGCACTTATCGTGTCTGTCCTTATTATTGGATACAAAGTGTGCAACCTTGTGCTGTCTCTAATATTCTTATTTTATAGTAATTACTGCAATATTTTGAATTTTTGTTATTTTTAGGAACATCTACTGGACTGATTGGGGAGATTCGGATATTCTTGAAACTCGCAGAAGACGTGCTCTTAGTGCAAAACCAAGTATATCTGTTGCCGACAAAGATGGAAACTATTCTAGAATCTTATTGGATACCGACCTCGACAAGCCATTCTCTATTGTGGTTAATCCTGCAAAAGGGTAAGACATTCATAGGATTGTTATTTTTATGTATAATATACAGTATCATACAATAACAATTTACTTTATATAAACTTTTTAAACCAATTAATCGTCCCTAGCCTCATTTATTGGGTGGAACAAGGAGAATTCCCTAAAATTGAGGTAGCATGGATGAATGGAGAGAACCGAGAAGAACTTGTAACTCGTGACCTAATTGAGCCTACTGGTTTAACTATTGACTTCGCTAACTACCAGACTGTGTATTTTGCTGACCGGAAGGAGAACTTGATTTTCTCAATGAATTTCGATGGCAGTAATGCCAGAGCCATCAAGGGTGGAGGCAAGTTTATTGTATTGTGTTGTATTTTCTTCCACTTTAATATTTTGTTCTCTTTTTTGTTATTTATAATTAAAATATGTATTATAATTATTATTTCGTACCAAGAATTTGGCATATAATGTATTTAAGCTGAACTATTAAAAATTGAGCGTAATCTTATACTATTCCACGTACAAGACATTTTAAAAAGAAAGAAAAGGCTTTCATTGTACATTGTGAATACTTACTTGGATAAATAAAAAATTTTTTTTGTTTTTGTAATCTAGAACACCCCTCTAAAATAATGGAACAGGCCATTATATTGTTGGAGAGTTAATTTGTAATCTGTTTTCACATTTGAATTCGCCACAAATGCTTTTTAGCATAGTACCTTTAACTGTTCGCTGTTAAAGGAATATGTAACATGTTTGATTCACAAAGATGAACTATTGATTTTCATTTATTTCATTCTTTGAAAGATTCCTCTTCTGGTATGTTCCTCAATAAATATCACAAAATTTGTATTTCTATCATATATTTGCTGGTTGTTAACACTCTGCCCTCCAAACATGGAGATCTCCGTGTTTTGTTACGCAACACTTGACCACCAAACATGGAGATCTCCATGTTTCTGGTTTTTTTTATGGAATCCAATAGACGGGGTAATTACCGACATGTACTAAAATTTGAACACTATATTCAGTCTGGACCGTAAGTGTTTCCCTATTCATTTGTTTACATTAGCGTAGAGCGGTATTGCTTTACTTTCACGAAATCACAATTATCTTAGCTTCATTGTGTGAAATTGCATAATGCTCCATTTTCATTTTACTGTTATGGTCACAGATTGTGATTAGAATAAAGTGTTTAGTACCATTGTAAAGCTAAAATGATTGTAGTTCTTGTAGTATTCACTACATGTCAATCTGATCACATACGCACTCTCAACAAGCTTCGGAAAAGTGTTAAAATTTGCTAAAAAGTCTGGCGGTGGCTGATACCATTTTTCCAAACCCCTGGCGGTCAGAGTGTTAAACAAAGATAGACTAGTAATTATTCATCACATTTAAAAGAAAATATATGTTATGTTTTCCTAATATGAACAATACGATTTTAACATTACAATGTGTTATTTTCTCCTTAATTTATGGTCTTGTACTTAATTGTTTTTTCTTTACAGATTTATTAAACCCTTATCAAATGGATGTCTTTGGAATTTATTTCTATTGGTCAACTAGTAGTTTTAAAGAAGCAGGTCAAATCTTAAATTCAGATAAGCTTCGCAGTGACATAAGTATGACAGTACCTAGTATTGGTCGACATGCTGCACTCAAAATATACCATAAAGAAAGATATCCTTCATGTATGTAAATCAATTTAATTTTGTTTACAGAAAATAATTAAAAATACATATAAATAATATTAAAAATAAATATTAAAAGTTATAATATCACACATTATGCTAAAGCGAGACTTTATTTATTCTTGTTTCTTGAACTTATTTTTTGATTGTCAGAGGGAAGAAATGATAAATAAAATTTGTTTTGTTATCTACCAAATGGTGTTGCCAGAAACATCCGGATGGGGGAGAAAATAAAAGTAAAATTTTTATTGTTGAATGTAAACCATGTAGTAATGGGATGGTTAAATGCTTTAATGCTATATACAGGTCTCCCTCCAGTTAAAGACTGCGTTTGGGAACAAGGTATATAAAAAGTTTCACCTAAATTAAGATTTGCTCTTTTTACCTAGAAAACCATTTACTATTAATAAATGGTTTTCTAGGTATGTATCAATCAATGTATTTGTACAATATATTTCTACTTTTCTATAGCATTCTTATGCTGTTCAGTAATACAGTTGAAACTCAATGTGCAACTACCTGTCAAGCAACCACTTGCCTAAAGCAGATATGCCAAGCACTCTGATTATGGCGGAGTTACTCTGTTTATTTAAGCAAAACTCAACACTCTTATTTTGGGTAGAAAATTTCCGCTTTTTGCACATTTCGGCCAGCTGAATTAAATAGCGCATTTCCGAATAATAAAATCCTTTGATTAGATAAGAAGACGACCAGTCAATTTATCCTGAAAAAACTCTGAACTGTATACAAAAAAGTAATTCACGCTCCACGGTCTACTGATTTCGGAAAAACAATTTTTATCGGCCAAAACGCTGTCAGAGTTGCACTCTGAACTGTAAAGCGCTCCATAGTCTACTGATTTCATAACAACAACAGTGTAGTAAACAACGAGTACAAAAAATGGAAAGAAATGTTTATATTTTAAAATCCGATCACATTGGTACATGTCTTGAAGCAAAAAATTATTTTTTTCTGATGGCGATTTAACATAGTAATCCTCTCACATTCCCAAAACTCCTCTCAAAAGGTTTTCAGACTCCTCTTGTTGGCCTTGTAGGGATTGCATGTCTGCAAAAGCCTTTTTTGTTTCACGTTCAGTCACTGCATTTGATGCCTCTTGTGAAGCCTACCCCTCGTCAGCACCCAACTCTTATAAGCAGCCACAACTACTTAGAACTTAAAGAATTTCATTTACCTGTAGTATTATGTACCTCTTGCAGGTCAACAAACACAACTTGCATGTGGCTGCAAAACCCTATTAAAATATTAGTTATTACAAATTATGTTGTACTTATCATTTTTACCCGAGACTTGACATCACATTAGGTTTGGGCCTCACATACTTATTGTGTATTCTCGTAAGGGACCATCTCTTGTAAGCGACCACTTTCCAGGACTTGAGGTTGGTTGCTGTATGTGAGGTTCAACTGTATTTTACTAGTACTTTTAGTAGTTTCATACTATTCAGAGTGGTAAGTCCTATACTTATTTGATTTATTCTGTCTTTAAAGTGATAACAATTTGCAGCACTGATTTTACTATTCATGTATCAACGAAAACAAAGAAGTGAATTTCTGTTCACATTTATTTCCTTCAGTTTCAAATCCATGTGCAAATCACCCATGTAGTCACCTTTGCCTGATAGTGCCTGAAGGAAATGGTGCAGAGGACATGGATTATCAGTGTGCTTGTCCAGATGGCTTTGGATTTATTGATGAAAATACTTGTGTTAAAGGTAAAATAGTCTCCTTCCAATTAAAGACCTCTCTAATTATAGGCCACCTCCAATTAAAGACCACTTTTCTGTGGTCCCAAATTAACAAATGTCTCTATTATTCTGATTAGAGACAAAAGCTACTAAAGACCATTGTAGTCCCCAGTTTCACAAGTGGTCTTTAATTGGAGTGCGACCTTGTTTATTTGGTCTTTTTAACATAAAATTTACTCACCTCTTCTTTTGACCACTATACCTCTCTACTATATACTAATGATCTAATCTATTCATTAGTTTTTGTGAGGTCATTATTAATGTGCTCTTTGAACTTTTCATCCCAATATGTATGGTGTTACCATATATTAGTTTTTGCATACACAAACAATTTTTTTTTTTTTTTATAATTTCCTTCACATCCAATAGCAAGTACACTCGCCACTTACAGGATGAGAATCATGCTTTATAAACCAAGCCTCTTTATGAGGCTTAGAGAGTGGAGTTGTGAGAAAAAGTCCTTCTGTGACAGGAATTGAACCCAGGATCATGGGATCAGAAGGCAAGCATCTTAACCACCGAGCTATTCAACTCCACTCCAGTGGTGCAAACAAAGAAGCAAAATACAGTCAGATAACAGTGCTGAACCTCCCAGTAGTCACTGTCACCAAATATATCTAAACGGTTATAAAACATTATTTCTAACATGTAAATAAAAGAAATGTGATAGAAATTCTTTTTTTGTGAATATTTGCATGGAAGAACCAGTAATTTGGCCCACTTGCAGAACTTACCTAAAACATAATAGAATCATCCATCCCATCACTTGAGATCACAGGAAAGCGGATTTCTTGTCTTTTAGGAGTTGATGAATGCAATTCCAACCCTTGCCGAAATGGTGGTACATGCTCAAGAACAGTATCTGGATACAAATGCTCATGTTTAGACAATTATGATGGTGTCAACTGCGAAGATGTAATTATTATTAGTAAGTGTTTCTTTTATTATTTTGCAAAACAATTAACAATTACTTTCATCATTAATCTATAATGGACCAAGTTCCTCTGAGTCAGGGGTGGGCATAACAGTGGGTCGGGCCAAATTGAATTTTTTATTTTACACTGAAGACCTCACCAGGGGTACTTCCAAAAAAAGACCCTATGCACTGCTTTTGTACCACATTATGCCCAGTTTTATTATTCCTGTTGGACCTTTTTGTAAGGGTTGTTTTTGACAGATGGGTGTTGGGCTGTACAAAATAGGGGTTTTCTAACCAGAGATGGTTGGAGGGGGTGGCGTGTGGCCCCGTAGGCCACACTTTTCCACCACCTGAATCATGAAATTACCTTGGGTATTTGTGGAATATAAGTAATTGTAATAACTTGTAATATTTTCAATAGTATTGTCATGGCTTTTTTTTTTTTTTTTTGGTATTTCAAATGCTGTTACAATTTATTGTAGTGGTTTTTTGTCTTATGATGATGGATGTTTAACTGTATTTTCAATCTGACTCTATTTTAATGAATTTTAACTATAATGTACAGTCAGTCTCTGTCTTTTCCATTATGTTTTTTTATGAGTAAATTAATATGAATATATTTCTAGACTTATTAATACTTTCTTAAAACCTATCGACTAATCTATGTGTTAAGAGACTATGTAACGAATATATGTGTGGAGAGATTCTTGTCATGCTCCTTTTCAACCAAATTATTGTCCCAATTTTTTTAGCTAAAAATGTAAGCAATAAAACAATATTTGTGACATAATAATTATAAGGTTGTTTATTTTAATAGCATGTAATTGCGGTTATGGTGAATGTATTGAAAACAATATGTGCTTGTAAGTATATTATGTAAATCATACATAGTTTCTCCCATAACAATAATGTCCACCAACAGTACATTGCCTTTTAATAAATTAAATGTGAATGTTAATATTCTGATAACAATTAATTACCTTTCTTTCTATATTTTTATGGGTGTGTGTGTGTGAGTTCCATGTTTTTTTCCTGGGTGTCTGGGTTTCGTGTCCATTTTAATGTCTGTTTTGCATTTGTCTGCTGTGTTTCTATTGCTTTGTTGGTATCTGGTAAGGTTGTGTCTTTGGTTTTGTTGAATGTGTCTGTTGATGTGTGTGTCATTTGTGGTTAGGGTGCCCATACGTGTCCCATAGGGGATGTGTGTATCAGTGGCGTATCTACAGGTCTTGAAATGGGGGGGCTGATGGGGGCCTCGATGATCAGCTGAGGGGCACTAACTTGCAAAATATGGTGATTGCTGCGAAGCAGCCAATTCATATTCTTGACAGCAATTTGACCTCTGAAAGGTCATTGTTTGTCAAAAAACGAGTGCCTAAGACGACTGAAAAGCGGAGTTTCCTTTTTTCGTTTTGACGGGTAAATTCAATTACTTTAGGCGACGTTTGTAGACTAACCTACTCGTACCAACGTCTGCATGTCATGCTAGCCTTATCCTACTCTAGGCCTAGACTAGCTAGGATGGTATAGGCCTAGCCTTGAAGACGAAGGTCCAATGAAAAACAACGTCGCTCTTTGATAGCTAACATTGTTTATTTAACATCACAATAATTCATTATTAGACATATAGTTGTTTTTGAATTGTACTCCACAAATCTTGTGACGTCATGGCTCGCTGGCTCACACTTGTGATATGTCTCGCACTTGTGATCAAATAACACTCTGGCTCGCACATTGGCAACACTCTTTGGCAGTCAACTCGCCACTAGAAAACCCGCCCTTGGAAACTTGCCCCATAAAAAAAATGTGCACTACCTTGACCATGCAGTCTTCAAAATAAAAATTGTAACCTTTGGTAATCAACTAAATTTTCCACATACATAGAAATTTTTGAAACTTTATTAAAAAAAACCTAAACCATAATTCACCACACTATAGACACTTTTTGACAAAAATGAAAAATTATGACTTTTTTACCCAATGAGAAGTGTTCTAATATAGACAATGGGTCGTGTCTCATATTATTTGTTATAGTTTTATTATTCATAATTTTCATTTGACTCGCATAAATAATTTTGTTCGAAGAACATTTATATGCATTTGTACTTCGCAGCACTTCACTTGCAATTTGCAATTTCTAGTTTTAAGTGATTTTTAACTACTTGGCCGTGATTTTTTTTGGGGGGGGCGCAAGTAATTTTTGGGGGCGTGCGCCCTCCCCTAGATACGCCACTGGTGTGTATGTGTGTACCTTGCAACTTAATGTATCAATGTTATGTATGTGTTGTTCTGTTGTATATTTGCTGCTAATGTTTTTTTGTTGTGAGTCTCATTTAAGTGATGTGGGTGGTCCTTCTTGTGTATCTGTTGTTGTTCTGTGTGTGTGTGTTTTTGTGTCTTGTCTATCTGTTCTCATTGGGTACTTAATTAGCACTACTGATATTTAATATTTTTAATTCCAATCCAATTCTGTCTCATACCATTTTATAGAACATTTATTTATTTTATTTTATATTTATCTTTTTTAGGTGCAATGATGGTACTATAAGGGATATCTGTGATGAAGAAAATGAGGTTGGTAAAAACACAGATGATGAAAAAGTCTCCCGTAAGTACAGAAAAGAGGCTATGTTATAATTTTATGCAAAAAAAAAAATGTTATCAATATATTTTTTTTAATCTGCCCATCATTTTAGACCACTCGTTAAAGCGAGTGGTCTTACACCATCATGTTTGCGGACAAAACATTTGCTATCAGAGGCTTTATTTCTGAAGATATTTGACTGTAATCAGTGGTATATTGAGGAGAAAGCAGTGGAAATTTAATGTATGAAACACCTTTGGGAAAACGTGATTGGGAAATTCGTGAAATTTGTTTTTAGAATATCCCATGGGATGGATTGTCATGTGAAACCGTGATGTTCATTGGTCAGATTTCTATCATACTGCGTAATTCCACAATTCACGGCCGCTTTTTCTATAAAAAAAAGCACAATTTTGGGCCATGGTAAACCATTAAAACTCTCCCTATGGACTCTACTTGGTATTTTTATTCCATGACCCTAACTGAGGCTGTAGTCAGCACCTTGGTTCTATTGGACACGTGGAACCCCCTATCGGCAAATTTTTGGAGCCTCCGAAAAGCAACTGTTATTTAATTATGTGATGACATTCCATTGCTTGTAACCAGCCTTAAATTTTAGACAAACAATGCAGAGATTTTCTGCTGTCCTCATTTGGTTTAAACATAGTTTTCTTGTTACAATAGTAGTTGTATATTAAGTGTATATAACTTTTGAAATTTCTTTCATTACT